GGAGGTGGATTGGCTGGCCATAATCTGAGGAAACCATCAAGTGACATCACTAGACAAGTCATTGCTCGAGTGGAACCCGACAGAAAGGGAAGTGGCGAGTTGATCGTCAGTGCAAGGGTGACTTGGAGGAGGTCATATGAAGAGGAGATGAAAGTATGCGGGCAGACTTGGAGCCAGGTGAAAAGGTTGGTAGACAACCGAAGGCAGTGGAGACGTGAGGCTTAAGCCGTATGTTCCTCTAGGAACTAAAGGATATAATAATAAGAATAATAATATCACCCAACCTCTCATTTGGTCTACGAGCACAACTTTCGTAAACACCAGAGGTAATCGGAGTTTATCTGAACAAGGCTAGTATGTTTGTTCAAAAGAAATTTGTACAGCCCCTTTCTTTACCATGGTCACCGAAAATATAACATGTATTAATTTTGAAAAAAAAACGATTTTTCCCCTCCACTTGTAACTACCTTTTAACTTTGTTAATTTTTACAATTCTGGCTAATTCTATTAACTTGTTTATATTTTACGTAGTTCTTCTGAGTCATCCTACGGCGTGTCTAGTCCTTTCTTTGCTGCAGACTGAATTCTATCAGTTAGTCAGGTTTGCAATGTGGCCACCATGCCACTAGGTAGTTCGCCATCACGGTGCACATTGATTTATTGATATTAGATAGTTGGAGACAATCGGCCAAAGGAAGCCTCATCTGACCTAAGTTTCTTGCTAATGGGTACTCTCAAGTCAGCAGGGCGTATCTGCAACCCTGAAGGAACTCATGTCCCCTGTCTGAGATTCGAACCCGCCGCTTCACTCTATGCTAGACTAGACACGTCCCACTAGTTACTATCTAATGTCCAATCAAAATACTCACTACAGCCCTACTACAGGAGGTCAATCGCGAGCCAACCCGAATAGCTCAGTGGTAACGTCTCTGACTGCAGGCGGCACCAGGTGATGCGGGTTCGAATCTCAGATGGTCGATGTGAGTTCCTTCAAGGCAGTTGCAGATACGCCTTGCTGATGAGTCCTAACTAGCACAAAAACTAGGTCAAGTGAAGCTACCTGTGGCCGATTGTCTGCAACTATCTAATATTATCATCCTACTCCTTTGAGTCATCATTATTTTACAGATTTCTTGATTATGTAATAACCTGTTGCTCGTTCCCCTACGAATCAACTTATCTTGAATTCCGCGACTAATTAATTTTCACCCCTCTCTCCTTTAAAACTTACATATCTTATTACTAACATCTAGTAGTTAATTTGCGGTTTGATGACTTTGAATGTCTTAATCTGACCCTCTCGCCACCTAGTCTCTATGCCTAAAACTGATGGAGTAAAATAACCGCTTGATTGTAGAAAAATTTAGATGTAACGGAAAACTATATATATATATATATATATATATATATATATATATTAGTGTAGAGCCAATGAATAATGAGGAACCAATTAAAGTGAAGGAATGCGTATTTCTTCTCTTAGTACGTTGGCTTTTTTTCTAAATGTGTAAATGGGAATTCGGAAATTTCTAGACAAAAGACAAGTAGTTCAGCGAAGAGTCTCTTTTCGGCGAATTCATTTTCATAGCTGCACAATCGCAAATATATATGGTTATTTTGTGTGTGTGTGTGTGTGTACATACATTAAATTTGTAAAACGAAAATACAGTTAGTAAGTTCAGGTGAATTGGATGTTCGTATAAGAGGATAGTAACAAAAGTGATGAGTTGTCATAAATGATTGTTAAATAAGAGTTACGTAATGGCATGAATAGTTTGATGAATGAGTTGTGCTCAAAGGGTGTACATGGAAACAAAATAATATACAGAATTACACAAGGGTTTTAAGTTATAAAAATAAGCATACAAACAGAAGTAAGGTCAAATCAACGGAGTTGTTACCATGCGAGTAGAAGTGGTTGGATAATTTTCTTTTGTATGCATAGTTCTGGTTCCACCAACTGAATGGCTAGGGCTTCTGCGATGCAAAGAAGGTGGAATCGTACTGTCTTTGGAAGGTTGTTCTTCACTTTGTAGATTACTTTGAAGGAGGGCGTTCGTTGAGATGGAATGACCAGTGTTGACGAGATGTTCGATTATTGCACTCCTTATATGGCCATTATTTCCTTTCTGTAGCCACGCTGGATAGTGTTCTTTGACCCTTTTTGACAGGATGCGCGTTGAACGACCGATGTACCTGGCTCCACAGCAACAGGTGAACTGATATATACACATAGAAGTGGTCATGTGCGGAATCTTGTCCTTTGGGTTTCTGCAGATCAGCGGGCGACTGGAGAACACTATTCTTAGTGTTGCCGCAGGGAAAGTTCTTCCTAAAGAGGTGGAAATTCTCCTTCTGAGGACGTCACTAAGTAGGTCTCCTTTGAAGTCTAGGTTCATATAAAGTATCTTTTTAGGCACGGATGGTGTCTCTTGCTTTTGGTTTTTCTGTTTGATGTTTTTCTCTACGAATCTTGGTGGGTAGCCATTTTGTATGAAGATTTCCCTCAGGAAGTTTAGTTCTTCTTCCATGGTGTCGGAGCTGCAGATGCGTCTGACGCGAGTGGCAAGGGATTTAATTAGGTTTCTTTTCCGACTGATTGGTACCCAGCTGTAGAAACTTGTTAATTGTCCGTTACAAGTCGGTTTCCTATGGATTGACCTTCTTAAAGTTCCGTCATCTCTCCTTGTAAGCTCAACATCAAGAAAAGGGATTTTAGATTCATTTTCAGTTTCCAGAGTGAACTTTGTGGCTGGATGGCATTTGTTGAATATTTGCAGTAGTTGATTGAGATCGTGACCGTCATCACAGATGATAAAGATGTCGTCAATATATCTAACGTACAACTGGAAATTGTCGATGGTTGATTTGAGTGGGCCGTTCTCGAGGCTTGCCATGAAGCAGTCTGCTAGTAATGGGCCCAGTGGAGATCCCATTGCGATCCCATCTTGTTGTCTGTAAATAATATCGTTGAATGTGAATTGCACATTGAGTGTACATCTCAGTAGTAGTTCTTTTAAACAGGTCGTCGGTAATCCGATGTTCAGCTGATTTTCGTCGATATAGTGACAAATGTAAGAGACAGTTTCTGTGAGTGGAACGTTGGTAAATAGTGATTCAATGTCGAGGGAGAGCATAGTTTTGTTCTTTGTATTGATATCTTTAATGTAATCGACGAATTGGAAAGTGTCACGAAGTGAATAGTGGCACATTCGTTTTCGTACAGGTTCTAAAATGTCAGTGAGCCATTTCGCTATTGAATGGTACGGGGAACCTGACATATCCAGAATTGGACGAAGTGGGAATTCGAAAATTACTGCAGCATTTTTTTTCACATGAACTGTGATCAAGATTTGACAGATTATTGCAGAAATAATTGGCAGTAATTCGAATGACAAATAGTAGTTCAGACTAAATGAGACGTTTGAATTACTCATTTCAATCACCTTGAGATTTTATAAATATAGTTTTTACATATGTCAAGTGCTGTCTTGGTTAGTTAGATTTAAGGAGAAGACGTTCAGCGAAGATACTCTTTTCCGCGGCGATTTCCTTCACATAGCTTTACAATCGCATTTATATATAACTACTTGTGTGTGTGTGTGTGTACATGAGGTTTGTCAAGTTTAGGTAGTTGATCGGGTAATACAAGAATGATCTATTATGGAAAGAAGGTTGTGCTGAAAATTCCTGTGCTGAAAATTCCACACTGTACCACAAGTACTGTTTCTGGAATAAAGCGAAATTGTTATGTTAATTAGACAGCAAGTAAAGTAACTAAGATGCAGTTAGTAAGTTAGATGACGCAATATAATTGACTAAAATGTTTCAACTTAGGTCAGGATAGCAACAGAGGTAATTACAGGTAGGGACTAAGTAGAAGTGGGGTAGAGAATAATGCCATTTTAATTAGAACTAAAGTTGAGCAGATAAATTAGATGTCGTAACATAAATGACTAGAAATTGAGCGTTGGTCAAGTCAGTGACTTTGGTAATGAGGTGTAGAAATTAAACTGAGTGGGGGTAGAGAACAAGAAGGTTGAAAATGTAAAATATTACAATTGAGGAGACAAAATAACACTCATGAAGAGACAGAAGAGAAAAAAGATTAGGTAGAATTTACCTGTCATGCATTTCAAGTGAAGTGATTGAACGAACATCTTCTGTATGCAGAGTTCAGGACTTGGCAAGAGCATCGCCACTGCTTCTGCAGTTTGAAGAAGTCTGATTCGTACACCTTTAGGAAGACTACTTCTTACTCTGTAGACGACTTTGAAGTTTGTTTGCTGTATAGATTAGTGTCCGGAATCTATCAGATGTTCTAAGATGGAGCTGTGGGGCATCATTTTTCTCCTTTGTAAAACCATGTTGGTAAAGGTTCGGTGATACGTTTGGAAAGCGAACTCTGGGTACAGTCGACGTACCTGGCTCCACACGAGCAGGTGGATTGATAAATACACATTGATGAAGCCAGTAGTGGTAGCTTGTCCTGCACGTTCACATGAATCATAGGTTTTGTGGAGAAATTTAGTCTTAGTTCAGCTTCAAAGAAGGTCTTCTTAAGTGAGCGCAACAGTCGAGTTTTTAGTGTTTCTGCAGATATATCTCTACTAAATTGAAGGTTCATGTAGAGTAGTTTTCTCTGGACGCAAGCATGGGTGACTTTTGTGGTCTAGGATTCATAGATTTTGCAATCAATCGTTCTGGAGTTCGCAGAATTTGCATCCCAGACACCATAGAAGATGAAGTGAACAATCTCAAGAGAATCCTCGTCCATAATTGTTATCCAGAATGGTTTATTGGAAAATCTATAAATTCTACACCACAAAAGCCTCCCATGCTTAGCATCCCAAAAAAACTACTCTACATGAACCTTCAATTCAATGGGGATTTTTTAAGTTAGATTTAAACCGGTTAAAGGAAAATAATAATATTAATAATGATTATTAATCCCATCATTTTAATCTCTCTCTTTTCCTCTTTACTTCGTACTATTCTAGCTTTTAAATTCATGTAATTCTGAATATACTCTACTAGTAAACAGATTTAAGTGAGTTGTCATCACTCCTTTTGTGGTTGGTTACATAATCGTTTGTTATGCAATCCACTTGTTATTATCACTTGTATTGATCGATTCTTTTGCTACAAAATGTCCAATTTTAATTCAATGTTAATAAAACCAAGGGAAATCAGTACAGCAACACCTTGAAAATTCAGTTAAGAGAAGGTTAATCCTTTTGAATCTCAGTTCTACAGAACAGAATTATCATGTATCCGGAATCTAATGGCCTAAAGCCTACTGTTTAATGGAGAAACAACGCAGTTTTCCGTTCACAGAAGAAATATTTTTTTACAAGGAAATCATTCTTTAGCGGTACAGTTGTATTTATATATTACGGGAAAAGTAATAGAGAAGATTTGTAGCTCAGTTGGATGATTTTGATTTATTACAGGATTTTATCATGAGCTGACATCAGATAGAGAACTACTGGAAAACCTAGGAGTACTGGACAGCTGTTTCGTCCTAGTTTGGGATTCTTCATCAGTACATTCCCACCGGGATTCGAACCTAGGACCTTCTGGCTGCAAGTGGAGCTAGCTCGTAGACCATTAAGCTACGGGGACCCGATCCAATGGCCCATGAATTCTGTCGTCGTGTTCTGTGTCTGAGATGGTTGATTGAATTGCGAATCTTTCGCCGCCCTTCTAGACAACATCTTCAAAAAAGATTTTAGTATGAAATGAGCTTAACTGAATTCTCTATGAGTGATATAATTGTATCTATTGTCGTGATTGTTTGCCAATTTACACTAATCACCAAAGGAAACAGTGAGCTGAACACTTTAAAAGACTTTTGGATTGGCCACCACCTACAACACGACCGAGAATACCAACAGCGGAAGCAGAACTAACAGTGGACATCAACCCTCTGAGGAAGATAAAAATCCTGAAGCCAATAAATATGCTAGAAAAGCAGCAAAACCAAACGGAATCCGAGCAGAAGTATTGAAAGTGAACCTTGAAACATCAGCGGACTTGATGACACTACTACTGCGAAAGGTGTGGGAAGAGAGCAAGGTACCTGCGGATTGGAGGAAAGGATACTTATTCCAACTGCAAAAGAGAGGAGACTTAAGTCAATCCAAGAACTGACACGGCATTATGCTGCTTTCTATCCCAAGCAAAATACTAAGGCGCATCAAACATGCTCTGGATGAAAAACTTCGACCGGAACAGGCTGGATTCAGGAGAAACAAGTCATGCATCGATCGAATCGTGATACTATGGATCATCATTGAACAGAGCTGGGAATTACAGTCAGCCCTCTACCTCAACTTCATCGATTTTGGAAAAGACTTTGGTAGTGCAGCGTCTATCGAGAGGTGATTTGGAAACTACTTCGCTATTACTAAGGGTTGCCTCCAACAATTATACACCTCATCCAAAAGTTGTACGAAAATGCTGCATATCAAGTAATCCACAACGGGGATGTCACGGAATCCTTCAAAGAAGTGAAGACGGGAGTAAGACAGGGCTGGCTGGCTGGCTACTTTCTACAGTGATTCTCTTGATTGCGGGAGGTACACTGGATAATGCGACAAGCATTTGGCAACGAGAAGACAGGCATAAACTGGTCCACACAAAAATTTGGAGGATCTGGACTTCACCGATGATATATATGTCTGATTTCCCACAGACTGGAAGACATGCAAGTGATGAAAAGCAACAGGTTGTCAGAAGAAGCATCCAGAGAAGATAGAACTTCAGGTGAACACAGAGAAAGTAGAGACGGTGGCGATGAAGATTCCTGGTCAACAGCGGCAGCACCACCACCAACAACAACAAACAACAATCAATCAGCATAAATGGAAGAAATTTGAAAGAATCAAGTTCCTTCACCTACCTACCCACCTACGTGGGAAGCATCGTTTCAATCACAGAAGGACGAAACTGATGAGGATATCAAAGCAGCGAGGATGTAGAAAGCAAGACAATCTTTCATCACTCTCAAGTATGTGTGGAGATCAACAGCATTCAGTACTCAACATGAAAAATGAAATCCGGACTTTAAATTCAAATGTGAAGTCAGTCAGTGCTACTTACTATACGGATCAGAGAATTGGCACCGTGTTACGAAGTCAACTTTGAACAAACTACACATCTTCATCAATAGCCAACTGTCCTCGCTCATTGCTACTCAAGACCGGATGGCTCGTCAGAAACGATCAACAAAATGGAGGGATCTCTGAGAGCGAACCAACCAGGAACTGATTGTGTAAGAAATATACAGGAATAAATGAAGGTGGGTTGGCTGACCATACTCTGAGAAAACAAATCGTCAAGTAAGTCACATCACACTCTAGGCCATTGATCGATTAGAAGTCGAACGGGATGCGGTGAGTTGGTCATCAGTGCAAGGATGATATGCAGGAGGGGATGATGCGAAGAGGAGATGAAAGCATGTGGACAGACTTGGAGCCAGGTGAAAAGGCTGGTGGAGAACCGAACGCAATGAGAGCGTGTCAGACTGAAGCCCTATGTTCCTCTAGGAAGGACTACAGGAAACAATAATAATAATAATAATGTTCCAAACGACAATAATAATTATACAGAATGAAACTTTCAGCATTTTTATACATATTGCAATAATTTAATTCCTTTTATAAAAATGTACAAACATAAAATTTCATATAGTAATAATAATATTAATAATGTAACCACCACTAGAAATATAATGTTGCTATGAGCATAAAGGATTATAAAATGGATAACATCATAGATAATACATGTAATAATAATCTTTAATTGGTGGATGGTGAGTAGCAGTGACGGAATCCAATATGAGTATCCCGTGCTATTTGGAACTAGTCCTCCAGCTGGATGTACCTGCATTTTCAGTGAGTGATGATGTCCTGTCCGAGGCTCGAACCCTGTACCCATAGTTTCAAGTGCCAAAGCGTCACCCGCTAGACCACTTGGGCCACGAGATTAACCTCTTGTGCAACGGGTCATATTAACATAATTGAATTTTATATTTTCCTGTCGATTGATTGAACCGAAGTGCTCGGTCTCAGGTTGATGTCGGCCCTTGTGCAGATGCCTCGACGATGTTTGGTCATTTAATTAGAATTTAATTGGTGGACGGGTGCACTAGGCTCGAGCCTCGATGGGAACACAGTCATCACTCACTGGGAAATGCAGGTACATCCAGCTGACGAGTCTCGAATAGGACGAAATGAGCGTTATCCTGAATTTCACCAATGCTAGTCACCATCAACTAATTAAATTCTAATTAAATGACCACATATCGTCGAAGCATCTGCACAAGAATCCCACATGTCAACCTGAGACCGAGCACTTCGGTCTAATCAATTGACGGGAAAATCTAAAATTTAATTAAAATAATAATCTTTGCTAATACTTTGCAGTTCAGTTACCGAACCAAAACGTTTATGAGTTCTTTTCTAATAACTGACTCTTCGCACAAAACCTTTCTTTAATACATTATTGTGACGACAGTCAGAGGTGATTCTAGGTGAAGCACAGAGTTTGAAATTCATTAATGATGAGGTGTTGTTTTTATTAGAGGGGTGTGTTAGACTAACTTTCAGCCTCCCTTCTTTATCGAGCTTACTACCGGCTAAGCGATGTGTAAGTGCAACGATAGGAGACCAGGGTTAGGAAACAGATCGTTTATTGAGAAAATCAACAGATATTTATAGATTTTTATGTAGATTGTTATTAGCGTTATTGTTAACAGAAAAGCGACGTCTTCTGACTGGTTGTTTTCTTGCTGAAGGTGATTCTGTTATCTCTCTGTTGCCGTTTCTTAGAAAGTTAAGCCATTTAGCTTCCAACCATATTTGCACACCTGAAGTCTGCTTTGATTGGTCGTTGAGTTGCTGAAGGTTAAACTTTGTTCTTGTCTTTTTTCATGACCTCGTTTCGGGACGTGAACAATGACGTAAATTGTTGTCTACAATTTTGGCTTTCAGAGAGCTCTCACCACATTAAGATTATGTCATCTGGGAATCAAACCGGAAGTGACTGGCAGTTTGGTTGATAACCCTTCCACCAGTGAACCACCGACGCACAAGACACAAGGCATTCACTCTACCAATATATCTTTTGTTTTAAAATATTTTCATAAATAGATAGCTTTTCAGTGGGCTTGCATGACACACTGCTTGACATCTGCTTTTTACCATCTGGTGTCCATCAGTGAAGAACTGCAGGAAGCCCTCGTTCACTTTTGGATGCTTACATCTTTTCAGCACGTTGTATTCTGACGTCTACAAATTCAAGTCACCAATGACCCAATCTTTAGGGAATCTATTCCATTTTCCACATGCAGTTTTATAATTATTCCTAATGGCGATGGTGCTCATACATTCACAATACACTCGTTCATATAATGAGCGTCCCCTTAAGAAATTTGTTGATTTTGGCTAACAGGATGTTTTATGTTTGAAATAAATGCGTGTAACACCCTTCAAATCATCTGAAAGCCGCTGATGATAAGTAATTAAGGATTAAGAACACAATATTCAGCGAAGAGACTCTTGCCAACGAATTTATCATCAAGTTGTCCAATCGTATATTTATGGTTTTATAAAGAAATTATATCCGGTGAGGGAATTAGGTGAATGGTGTGAATACATGAAATAATAATAATAATAGTAGTGTGAAATGCAATTAAAATATTTGTGATTATAATCGTAGTTTAATGTCAAGTGGCAAAATAATTAATGCCATACATAGAATAATACATAAGGTGTATCCATGTTGGAAAGGGACACGTAATTATAGGATCAGTAGACGAATATGTAATGTTACATAAAATGGGGTGAGGAGGATACTTTTCACTTGGATACGAGAACATATTCCAGCATGAATTTACAAGACAGAAAGGAAGCGTGTACAAAGCTTCTCTATTCTAGAACGCCTGATCGACTTCTGTCACTCTGTCAACCCTTCATTAACAACTGTCTCCGCTCAATACTCAAGATCAGATGACCAGAAAAGATCAGCAACAGGGATCTCTGGGAGCGAACCAATCAGGAACCGATTATGAAACAAATAGGCAGAAAGAAATGGAGATGGATTGGCCATACGCTGAGGAAACCATCAAGTGACATCACTAGACAAGCCCTCGAGTGGAACCCGAAAGGGAGGCGGCGAGTTGGTCGTCCAAGGGTGACTTGGAGGAGGTCATGTGAAGAGGAGATGAAAGCATGTGGGCAGACCTGGAGCAGGGTGAAAAAGTTGTCAGAAAACCGAAGTCAATGGAGGTGCGCAGCTGAAGCCCTATGTTCCTCTAGGAACTAAAGGATACAATAATAATAATAATATAATACAAGTCAACTCACAAATTCTTTAGTGGGATGTTATACTACTACTTTTTAAAAAGTAGTTAAAATAATGTTATATATTTTTTAAATTTTTCTGCTAAAGTTTTCATTCTGGAATATGTTCTCTACAATACGAGTATGATGAAAGAATCTTTGGTCAACCTCAGTGTACTGATATTGTAAATAAAATATTGGATTCAGCTCCACATATTACATGGGGTTCTGAATGGGGTAAGTGAAATAAATATAAATATTCTGAATTAATAATTCATATACTGATTCATAATAATTTCACATTGGCTCTATTGTGCTTGTGTATACACTCTACACTCTACAGGTGAGTCCTAGTTACTACTTTCACCTGGTTGAGAAGGTGAAACAGAGAATGAGAGTTTAATGGAATTTTAGATTTTCCCGTAGATTGATTGGACCGAAATGCTCGGTCTCAGGTTGACATGTCGGCTTCCTGTGCAGATGCTTCGACGATGTCTAAGCATTTAATTAGAATTTAATTGGTGGATGGTGATTAGCAGTGGAATCCAGGATGCGCATCTGCACGAGAAGCCGATATGTCAACCTGGGACCGAGCACTTCGGTCCAATCAATCGACGGGAAAATCTCAAATTCAATTAGATTAATATGACCCGTTGCACAAGAGGTGGCTCTCGTGGCCCAAGTGGTCTATTGGATGACACTTTGGCGTTTGAAACTATGGAAATTGGGTTCGAGCCTCTGTAGGAACACTATCACTCATTGGGGAATGCATTTACATCCTGAAGACGAGTCCTAGATAGGACGAAATGTGCATCCTGGATTCTGTCACTGCTAGTCACCATCCACCAATTAAAGCGAATGAGAGTGTCTGGAATTTACAAAATAAATGATGTTGAGCTGGAAAACCATAATTCTATGCCTATATTACACATGGGCTCCAGAATCCAAGGGGGGTCGGATGGCTTATGAAAGAGTTTTAGCGACCAGTATCCGTGGGATCATAACACCTGATGCTGCTCCACTAACTTGTTGGTCAGATTTAAAGTCGAAGGATAGAGGCTAGGAGTGGCCTCTTAAGGCAAACTTTTGCTTCCCTCTGGGCAGTATCTCAAACCTCGTATAAACGATGCAATTTTGTGTGATGCATCTCTTAAGAGTGAGTAAGTTAGTTCGTTGATCTATATTGATCTAGCTTAACTGGATAGAGGAGGATTTCATCATGAACTGATATCAGTTAGAGGACCACTGGAAAACCAGTCTGAGAGGACTGGACAGCCGTTTCATTCTAGTTAACTTTCTTTTGCATGTGATTAAAAAAAGGTTTCAAATCTACTCTTGACATTCAGACTGAAAGTTAGATTGAATATATTTTTAAAGTGTGTTTCACAGAAGCGTAAATGAAACTTGTAAACTGTTGGTGTTGCAGGTATATGATAGCTAATAGTTCACAGTCCAGATATTCAATTGATTTAGATAAATACCTTTATGGATGAGTAACATAACAGGTTCTTCGTATTCACCAGTAAAATGTACACAATTGTCACATTACTTGAATTCACTACCACAGCACACACCAGTGAGCAGTATTAATATTATTGTTCCCTTGGGTTCCTAGTGGAACATAGGGCTTCAAATGCACCTCTCCACTTCCCACTTCTGTCTTCCTTCTGCTGTACTTTTCACCTGCACCCATCCATTTTAGTTAGTCCATACTCTTTCAACTCCTCCTCTTCACACGATCTCCTCCATGTCACCCACCCTTGCACTGACGTCCAACTTACCGCGTGCTTCCCTTTTGGGCTCAACTCAAGCAATGGCCTGAGGCGCACGGAATGTCACCCACCTGCCCAGGCTCCTCAGCCGCGAGTGTCCAATCCATCTCCACTTTCTCCTGCATATTTGTTGGTTGGCGATTGGTTCTTGTTTCGTTTGTTTGTTCCCAGCCATAGTTTCTTGTTGGTGATTCTTTCCGACCCGGCCATCTGATTGATCTTCAGTATAGATCCAGCGAAGACAGTTGTTGGTTGATAAAGGTAGGTCTGCAACAGGCTGTTGGAAATATTCTTTGTGACCCGCCCGCCAAGTTTCTCATCCGTATAGAAGAATTGACTGACTTGACGTTGTTTGTATTGAAGATCCTACCGAGTTTTGTTGTTGATTCTGGCTGAGTGACGAAGATTTTCAGACTGGTTTCTGGTTGATGAATGTGTTTCTCGCCTGTCTTCCCGATTATCGCTCGATTTGACATCCTCATCCGTTCCGACTTCCTGTAGTTGAGACAATGCGCCCTAGATAAGTGAGTGAATGAGGTAACCTCTTTCAAATCCCTCCCATTGATGGTGATTGGCGCTGGATGTTGCTGTTGTTGTTGGTGGTTGGTTATTTTCATAACCTCCGTCACCTTGAGTCATGTCTTCGCCGGCTGCTTCTTCGATCAGTTTGTCGGTTTCGCTTGTAAGTCTTCGATTTTGTGACAGTGACATCAAACATAAATCATCCACGCGCGAAATCCAGGTCTTCCAGGTTCTCCGCGTCGGTCTGTCCAGGATATCCCTGTCTGCTGCTCGTTTCTCACTGTCTGACGCATAATCCAGTCAATCCACCACAATTAGGAATATCATTGGTGATAATAGGCAGGCACCCTTGTCTGACTCCTGTGTTTACTCCAAACGCCTCTCTGAGTTTTCCGTTGTGGATCACTTGACATGTACCATTGAAATACCATAATAATCATTTAAAAAATGCCATACGTGCTGAAAAGGTTGTGCATCTACCTTTTTCAAAGGTAAGACTTTGTCTTCACTCCTCTGCGTCTTCGAATTTTCGTTCACAGAGTGGGGTAGATAGTCTTATGTCTAACCTTCTCCACTGTGAGAATACCAACGGCTTTTAAACTAGGCTAAACTTAAAAGTGCACTCACTGGAATTCGAACCCAGACCACATGTTTGATTGGTGAGGGTTCTACCATCGGACACCTGATACTGTGGTGACAGCCAGCTGCAAGCGAAAATCAACAGATATTTATAGATTTTTATGTACATCATTATTATTAGCGTTATTGTTAGCAGAGAAGCAACGTTTTCTGATTGGTTGTTTTCTTGCTCAAGGTTATTCTGTTATCTCCTTGTGGTCATTTCTTAGAAAGTTAAGTCACATATTTGCGAATCGTTTTCGCACACATTAAGTCTGCTGTGATTGGTTATTGAGTTCATGAAGTTTAGACTTTCTTATTGTTTTATTTCGTGATTCCGAATCAGGACGTTAGCACTGACATAAATTGTTGTCTACAATTTTGGCTTGTTCTCAGATAGCTCTCAACACACTTCGATCCAATGATTAAGTGATATGCCTTAGCGTTTATTTAACGAGTGTCTCATTATGTTATCTTTTTCAAACTCTGTATGAATGCAGTCCACAGAGATCACTTCGATATCATCGGTTAGCCCTCCTAGTTAGAATGGATTATAAATTTCCAAATAATATCACTTCTCCACTCAATGAGATTTTTAATTTGTATATGTTTGGAGCTTAAAACTAGTTGGTTGAAACCTGAACGTAGTTGGTTTGACATTTCAATGATCTAAGAGTAGAATCCCAGCGGACTATTGACACTGATGAGGAGTAAAAGCTGGTAGAGTGTTATTTGGCTAAAAGCTGTCTTGGCGACTATAAACAATAGTGGGTGGTCAAGGCAATTTAATTTTTAACGCCGCATTGACAGTAATTAATTAATTGTCAACTAAGCTAGCTTATGAAGCCTCCTTTTTATATCACTGTACAAAGAAAGAAAATGTAACGATCTTATTTTGTTACTGTTGATGGTTGGAGGAAATCGGCAGGAAGCCTTAGATCTAGGTTTTGTGCCTCTTTAGCTCTCGTCAGCAAGGCGTATCTGAAACCCTTGAATGGGATGATGTCCCTTTTGAGATTCGAACCCTGAACATCCAATTCCGCAATCAGAGATGTTAACACTGACGTCTTCAGACTGGCTGGCGGTTGATCTCCTGTAGAATTGCAATGGATACTTTGATTGAGCACTAGGTAGGAACTTCTGTCAAGCGTCTCGTCCATGGTTTGGCGCAGATTGAATTCTCTCATCAGTCCAGCTTGTAATATGATCACCATACTAGATGGCTTGGTATTACAGTGCACTATGAATTGTTGTTATTAGATGGTTGGAAGCATTTGGGAGGTCAAGCCTGGGACCTAAGTAATGTCCAATAAAAAATTGATTTTCTCTAATACACTACTGGAATGATTGTCAGGTAAAATACGTAGGTCAAACTAGTAGAACAGAGGCAGTTAGACTAGCCGAGCATAAAAACCCACCAGCAAAATCTAGATTAGTTGACCAGAATAAGATGAGAAATCTTGAGGATAGTTCAGCTACAGCACTCGCTGCACGCAATTACACACTACCACATAATAGAATGGGATAGGATGACAGTTCTAAAATCTAATGTCCCAGGGTGGAGGGAGGAAGAGATTGATAGCTGAAGCTTTGTTTATCAAATCAACTGCAAAGCAACACGTGTAATAGGAATGATTCATCACCTTTCCAAGCAAATATCTGGAAAATTCTACTACCCCTACGACAAACAGGAGAGAACAAAGAAAACTATCAAACTCAAATTTCGAAGTCGTCTGATTATAATTGATGAAATGATTATGAATAGTAATAAATTATGTTCGAAACTTTGTCATCAAGTAAATAATACTGTTACACTGTGTCACTGTGTGATACAACTAATACACAAAATAATATGGAATCACATACAAAGCAATATTCATGTTCATTAGTTCCTACAAGATGTATAAAGCCAACTTCTTGTGAAAATTCATAGCCGATGGATGTAAATTCAGTGTTTATCTTTAACGATTGACGTCACAAAGAGATAGAAGTTTGTGTTCCTGAGTAAAATGTTCAACATACTTGTATTTCCATCTGGAGATCATCGGTTGGATCCCTGCTGGGATAGTAGAAGAATTCCACAATAGGACGTAACACCTATCCAGTATTGCATAGGTTTTGAATAATTCACCAACTTTATGCCATCTAGTGAGAAAAAATTATTCAAAAAGCACCTACAGTCCCACTTATTCTTGTTACTTATATAAAGATACCTCCTAAAAACATTTTGAAAGACAGATTAGTGAATAACCTCCTCATCAGGTTCTACAATCATGTGACCATAGTAATCACAGAATTTCAGGATTCCATCATGATCTGACATTAGTTAGAGAACCATTGGAAAACCTGGGAGTACTGGACAGCTGTTTCGTCCTAGTTTGGGTTTTTTCGGTAGTACGCACCCACCGGGATTCGAACCCAGGACCTACCGGTTACAAGGCGAGCATATCATCAATGAGATGCTCACTGGCGACTGGCCCTATTCAGGTAGGTAGTTACCTGGGTTCTAGTGGGAAGTCGTGACCAGTAGGGTGCAGCTGGTCGGGTGTGAGGACAAATACTCGCCGAAGACATTGGCTAGCGGTCGGGCTACATCGTGAATTGGCAGAAGTTAGAATTCAAGGACCATTGGATCGGGTCTCAGTGGCTTAATGGTATACGAGCTCGCTTCGTAACCGGAAGGTTCTGGGTTCTCCTCCAATGGTGTGGGTGCATACTGCCGAAGAGTCCCAAACTAGGACGAAACAGTTGTCCAGTACTCCCAGGTTTTCCAATGGTCCTCTAACTAATGTCAGCTCATGATGAAATCCTGAAACCAATCAAATCCCTAGAAACCAACACTTGAATCACAGAATAATTGGTACTAACAGCATTAATTTGTTATGCAATAGCACTGAATAAATAAAACGAACAGAGTAGAGTTCGAAGGCGTCTGTGAGTGCTAATATGCATAAATATAACATTAAATTGAATATCAGAAAAACTGATGAAAATAATACAGAATTTATGGATTTATAGGTTCTACAGCAGACCACGGTAGCAGTTGTAGCTGGACCTGTTTCTTCCGCACACAGAGATCCAGTTGTTTTAAGCGGATTGCAATAAATCTATGCTGTTCGGAGTTTTTCAGTACCTAGAGACTACTGGCAATTTATTTGATATGTGATAGATGATAGAATAAGATTCATCAATATCATCTTTGTGGCCTGTTTGGGTGTGTTGATCTAATACAGAGAACTGTCGATGGTGTTAACTACACCTTTATTGAGCCGCAGACTGGTGAGTTCTCCCCGAGTACAAGAAATCAATATGTTTTCAAAATCGAAAAGGAGGGGGTGAACAAGAAGAATACAGAAAAATCTAATAAAAAAAACAGTATTTGGCATGTAAGTTTAGATATTATAGAGAAGATTTGTAAGTAAGTTTAAAATAGCAACTCAAAAAGCTTATAGTTCGTAAATTTGGAAATTTGCTCAGTGACCTGAAATCACTGATATAGATGATTGATCGATGTAATCAACATGCATAAGTTTGGTTTGAATTGCTTAACTGCAGTTGCTTCAGCAAGTTATTTCCCACGATAGTTCCTGAAATAAGTTCGGTCGGTTAAAGCTGATGAGATCCTGTGAAATAGAATGATGGCATCATTTTATACTGCAAATCTGGTCTTTCCTGCCTTATCGGAACCTATCCTGGGAACCAAATGTAAGGAAAATTAAGTGATTAGAGTGAAAGCTAATATAACTGGCTCCTCAGGAGCAGTTAATGTGATTAATGACTACAGGTTGCTAACCTAGATACTTCGTCTTTCAATGGTTGGAGGATTTCATCATGAGCTGACCTCGGTTAGAGAACAACTGGAAAAAAGCTGGAAGTACTGCGAAACAGCTGTTTCACCAGTGTAGTTTGGGACTCTTCATGAGTACGCACCCACCAATGAGGCTAACGAGCTCGTAGACTATTCGTCAGCCACTGGAACCCGATCCAATGTTCAGTTCATGAATTCCAACTTTTGCCAATTCACGACATAGCACAACCACTTCGCAATGTCTTCTACATTGATAAGTCACTGAGTCATTATGAAATCCTCAAATCAAGCAAACGAAATTCCTACAAAGCAAGTACTTGAAAACTTCCTCCTTCAGTTAAGGAATAACAACCGGTCGTGTGAAAAACCTGACCTGCGGCTTATCGTCATTAAACGTTTTAATATATGTGTAAAACTTGGGCACTTACTTGGTAGTAAGTAATTCCATATTAGTTTGTTTATTAGATATATACACACATATACCACACGTCTCGAACACAATTTATTACTGTTCATAATCATATCATCAACTATAATCACACGACTTCAAAACTCCAGTTTAATAGTTCTCCTTTTTCTCTCCTATTTGTCGTCGTTTGGGTAGTAGAATTTTCCAGATGTCCACGTGGTCAGTTGTTGAATCATTCCTGTCACACGTGTTGGTTTGCAGTTGATTCGAATAACAAAGATTCTGTTATCAATCCCTCCCTTCACCATGCTGTTACATTAGATTTTAGAATTGTCATATTATCCCATCCCATCTCATTGTATGTTTGTGTGTGATTGCATGTGGTGAGTGCTGTAGCTGAACTATTCTCTAGATTTCTCATCTTATTCGGGTCAACTAATCTAGATTTTGCTGGTGGGTTTTTATGCTCAGTTAGTCTGACTAACTGACCTTGTTCAACTAGCTTGACCTATGTATTCGACCTGACAATCATTGCAGGTAGGGTATTAGATAGACTAGATTGTTTTGTTTTAAAGGCTCGACAAGATTGATGCTTTAACCGACAAAGCTTGTTTATAATTAGGTTTAAGGGTTTGAATGTCATCGACTTTTATTCCTGCCTTGTTAACAATTCAGCGTAAGGGTTTCCGACAAATAGGAGAGAACAAAGAAAACTATAAAACGCAAGTTTCGAAGTCGTGTGATTATAATTGATATATCTGATTATGGTCAATAAATTTTTTTCTAAACGTCATCCAGTAAATAATACTGTTACACTCAATGTGTGATACATCTAATAAGCAAATTAACATGGAGTCATTAAACGTTGTTTAAATCGATTTCCTCAATTTGTTAGTTGTTATGTTCACTCAGTTCGTCAACTTTGAATTGCATATCTAACAACCTATTCCTTGACAATACTTTACAATTGTTCAGGTTGTTATGATTCATTACTACCAATAAATGTCACCGGTTACTATCAAATTTATACAGAACCAGTAGAAATGGTTACAATGGGTTTAACTGCTTACACTAATGCATATTGTTCTGTAAACAGTCTGCATATAAGATATGAAGTTCCACTGGTTTGGTAAGTCAATTAATTTTCTTCTCTTTTTGTCTCTCCTATCTTTTACGTATTTTTTAAAATGAATATAGTTTACTTTTATTGAAAATGACAATATGAAGGTCATTGCTTTGATATTAACAATTTGAATTCCACCAATCAGAGAATACTTTAAATGGTTTGCAGGTTCATGGCCATCACTATGGTAATCTGGTGTAAGCAGATTACGCGTTCTCTGATTGGTCGATTCCAGTCTGCTGATATTAGAGCCAATCAAGTTGACTGTAGCCTTTATTCACTGTCAGTTTTCATGTAGAGAAGGCTGAAGAGGCGGGCAGAGAAGACAGGAATCCAGGTGAACATAGAGAAGACGGATGTAGGTGATGAAGATAACCAACCAACAGCAAAAGCAACGACGACGACGACAACAACAGCCAGCACCAATCACCATCAACGGGAGAAGTTTGACAGAGGTTATTTCCTTCACTTATCTGGCTAGGAAGCACCGTTTCAATCACAGGCAGCCGGAATGTATGAAGATGTCAAAGCCAGCCAGCCAGCCAGCCAGAATCGGAAAGGCAACATACGTCTTCTGGCTCCTTAGGGAATATCAAATGGCTAGAAAGAATCAGCAGCAAGAAAGTCTGACAATGTGGTGAGAGCAGGCCGTGAGAAAATATGAGCAAGTCTGATTCAACAGCCAATCACAGCAAAGTTAACGTGTCAAAATATGATTCGCAGATAGAGAACGCTGTTTGTCGACGAATCCCGAAACAACCAATCAGAAGCCTGCGTTTGTCTGCTTAACTTCTGATAAACAACCAATCAGATGACTGCGCTTGTCTACTTGCATAAGCTATAATAATGTATGTGAAATATGTATAAATACGTGTTGATTTTCATAATAAAACGATCTGTTGCCTGGCCCTTGTTTTCTGTTGTTACAACAACAGACAAACTGGGACCCTGTCGCTCAACAAATATGTATGAGAAAATGGTGATTGATCGGGCACACAACACGGAACAAGAGTAGATGGAAAATTTTTACAGTCAACTACACCGACGGTAATGGACAATATCCCAAATAGCAACATAAAAATCCTGATGAGTGATATGAATGCCAAACTGGGAGCAGGGAGCAGACTTATTAAGGATCAAGAGGCTGTAGGAGAAATGAATCAGAACGGAGAGGTATTGGTAGACTTCTGTGCTTTTAATTATTTGATGTTGGGAGGCAGCGTTTACAAGCACAAGGATATAAACAAAGCAACATGGATATCGCCTGACAGACACACCATTAACCAGATAGATTTCATCTCAGTGCTGCTCAAGGAGGTGAGGACACAGCTAGCAGGAAACACGGACAAGAAGAGGAGCCATCGAATAACATCACACACCAGATCACTGCTCGAATGGAACGCCGACGGGAAACAACGAGTAGGTGGTTGTGTGGCGAGGAGGAGATGAGAGATTAGGGACGATCGTGGAACCAGCCAACTAAAGAGGACAGCAGAAATTAGAAGAAAATGGAGATGTGTTGGTGAAGCCCTGCGTTCCACTCGGAACCTAGGGGAATAAAACGAAAAAGAAGATTGAGTGAAGATTATTCTTTTTGATAATTTCCTCTTCTCCCCTTTCTACAGTTACAATATACAGATGATACTTAAAGAGTAATCGCTACTAACAATATTGACACATTTTGTTTAGATAACATCAGACTTTTAAGATAAATGCAAATACAGAACCATCAGAAGACAAGCAGACAGTCCTGAATAGCCGTTTCCGTGACAAGGCAAACCTCAAAACCGGATGGTTCTGAATCTGAAACCTAGAGGATGCGCATTGCTGAGGATCCGCCAACCGGGATAAAGCAGCCAAAGGACATGTTAGCAGGCACTGAAATAAGGCAATCTATGCTGAAGTAATGCTGGTCACTGCTGCAGTGGAGCTGAAATGACGCTGAGAAGACGTGCCAGTGAACAATCAACTTTTATGGTTAATACAGAAATATGGCAAAGTTAAACTTTCGACACCACTAGTAACCAATCAGCAAACGACCTTGAACGGGCCAATCACATTAAATAGGCATAAATGATGAATGGAAACGCATATTTATAGAAAAAAGCATAAAGAAGGATAAAACGGTTACAAGGAGTATCTTTCTCGAATATGTGAGAGAAACATCTCCCAGTTTAGCATGTAACTTTCAGTGGCGAAGTCACATCACATCCTGTACTTATATTCATCTGAACGGCTGTAAATGAGATCCTTTTCAGATCCATTTATAGCCCTTATCTTGTTTTTCAAGTGGCCCCGAAAACCTTCAATGAAATTCGTATGAGTCCTCGTAACGGGATCCACATAGCAAACAAGTGATTGTCCCTATTTCACACGAAGCAATATCTCTGTAATGCTGGTACCACTAAACTGTTGAAACATGACTATTCTCAGTCTCGGCAGCTGCTGCTCTCACCGGCTGTTTCAACACCCAGTAATTGCGGATATGCAAAATCTGGGTTAGGGAGAGATGTGACCTAGCGGAAAAATTTCCCACGAAATATTAAAATTATCAGCTTACCCTCTCTTATATTAGCATGCTTCAAACATATAGCACAACGATGAACAAACCCACCAGTTGATCTGCTATAGCTTTTTAAAGTCATGATACCAACACAAGAACAAGTTCGCTCCTTCCGGAGCAATTTAAATCTAGGCAATACTGGAAAACACTAACCTCCTCAAATTGCAGCCGTAACCTTGTAAGGTCACGCATTAGAAATGAATCAAGCGCTCTACAACATTGAACTACGTTCGTGAATCTCATCGGATAATTCGCTGATTGGTAGTTAGTGGTGTCGAAAGTTTAACTTCGCCGGAAATATAAAAGAGGGCACTGTTTTCTTTTGGAATCTGTCGAGTCATTTCAAAATCATGCCAGGATTTACTCACACTGTAGATAAAAGGCGTTGGTTTAGAATTTGTGATCATTACGTCAGTATTATTGCAAGCTTAAAAATTGATATATTTGGCTAGCAAGCACTAGTGATTAGTGTGAGTGGTATCCGACTATGCAGTGAGTTCTGTTCTTTGTCACAGTTACTAATATCTATGTCGTTATCTACTCAGTACACTGACGACTCTGTCTGTAATGAGACTGCTGAACTAAAATGGCATCTATCATCATAAGGAATCCAAGGAATCATATGTTGTCATCAACATAACTGTATGAGAGGTAATCATATACAGAATTCGGACAACTCGGTGAAACGATATTGACTGAAGACACAGCGATATTTAATGAAGGACACAATGTGCCAGTGGAGGCCTCTTTTTCGAGAAATTCTACCGCGAACTAAGCTATCATTTCATTTTGGATCATTGCTCAATACCTTCATTTTATTGCCATTTCAATGAATGTTCCCTGTTTTCCCTTGTCTTAGTTATACTTAAACAATGTTTGTTTTAAATCAGTTAGAGAACCATTGGAAAACCACTCAGGGAGAACTGGATAACTGTTACATCAGTACACGACTGTAGCATTTTTTAAAGGTGAGGTAGTAATCGCCTTGTAACCAGAAGGTCCTGGGTTCAAACCCCAGTAAAGTGGGTGCGTACTACTGAAGAGCCCCAAGCTGGGCTGACGAAACAGCTCTCTGGCAGTACTCCCTGACTGGTTTTCCAATGGTTGTCTAACTAATGTCAGCTTATAATGAAATCCTCCAATCAATCAAGCATAATCCCTACAGAAACCAATACTTGAAAATTTAATTGGTGGATGGTGACTAGCAGTGGAATCCAGTCCAGGTTAATGCGCATTTCTTCCCAATTTGGGACTCGTCCTCCAGCTGGATGTACCTGCGTTTACCAACCAACTGGCCCAAGTGGTCTAGTGGATAACGCTTTGGCATTTGAAACTATAAGCAGTGGGTTCGAACCTCAGTGGGAACACAATCATTACTCACTGTGGAAGGCAGATACATCCAGCTCGAGGACGAGTCCTAAATAGGACGAAATGTGCATTAACCTGGATTCAACCACTTCTAGCCACCATCAACCAATTAACTTGTAATTTCATGTCCAGACATCGTCGTAGCATCTGCACAGACATGTCAACCTGAGATTGACCACTTTTATCCAATCAACCGACGGGGAAATCTGAAATTTCATTAAAATACTTGAAAATTCTTTAAAAAATTGATTTTCTTTTTGGTATTCTAGTCAAATGAATATCTTCGGTGGATACAGTTGGTTGCCAATTAAAGAACATTCATGTACAGTTCCAGAATTTGAAATGCCACGTTTTAGTGAATTAAATGAATATAAGAAAAGTAAGTCAACTTCTTTTTGTAGTAGTGATAGTAATAACCTTAATAATTATTATTTTTATTTTATTTTAGTCTATATTTATGATTATTTTCGGTAGATATTAAACTAAACGAAAATGTCGACATATTAACCAACCTCTTTTGTTGAATGGATGCCTCGATGCTGTTCTGATTCTAAATTTAGTTATTGGCGTTATTGTTAGCAGAGAAGCAACGTTTTCTGAATGGTTGTTTTCTTGCTCAAGGCTATACTGTACTGCTTGTGACCATTTCTCAGAAAGTAAAGCCATATATCTGCGAATCGTATTTGTACACGTTAAGTCTGCTGTGATTGGTTACTGAGTTCGTGAAGTTTAGGCTTTCTTATTGTTTTATCTCGTGAGACCCCCATTCGGGACGTAGACATTGACGTAAACTGATGTCTACAATTTTTGGCTTGCAGTTAGCTCTCATCACAGCATCAGTTGTCCAGTGGTACAACCTTCGCCAATCATACACGTGGTCTGGGTTCGAATTCCAGTGAGTGCACTTTTAGGTTTAGCCTAGTTTAAAAGCCGTTGGTATTCTCACGGTGGAGAAGGTTAGACGTGAGGCTATCTACCCCACTCTGTGAACGAAAATTCGAAGACGCAGAGGAGTGAAGACAAAGTCTTACCTTTGAAAAAGGTAGATGCACAACCTTATCAGAACGTATGGCATTTTTTAAATGATTATTATGGTATTTCAATGGTACATGTCAAGTGATCCACAACGGAAAACTCAGCGAGGCGTTTGGAGTAAACACAGGAGTCAGACAAGGGTGCCTGCCTATTATCACCAATGATATTCCTAATTGTGGTGGATTGACTGGATTATGCGTCAGACAGTGAGTGGGAAACGAGCAGCAGACAGGGATATCCTGGACAGACCGACGCGGAGAACCTGAAAGACCTGGATTTCGCGCGTGGATGATTTATGTTTGATGTCACTGTCACAAAATCGAAGACTTACAAGCGAAACCGACAAACTGATCGAAGAAGCAGCCGGCGAAGACATGACTCAAGGTGACGGAGGTTATGAAAATAACCAACCACCAACAACAACAGCAACATCCAGCGCCAATCACCATCAATGGGAGGGATTTGAAAGAGGTTACCTCATTCACTCACTTATCTAGGGCGCATTGTCTCAACTACAGGAAGTCGGAACGGATGAGGATGTCAAATCGAGCGATAATCGGGAAGACAGGCGAGAAACACATTCATCAACCAGAAACCAGTCTGAAAATCTTCGTCACTCAGCCAGAATCAACAACAAAACTCGGTAGGATCTTCAATACAAACAACGTCAAGTCAGTCAATTCTTCTATACGGATGAGAAACTTGGCGGGCGGGTCACAAAGAATATTTCCAACAGCCTGTTGCAGACCTACCTTTATCAACCAACAACTGTCTTCGCTGGATCTATACTGAAGATCAATCAGATGGCCGGGTCGGAAAGAATCACCAACAAGAAACTATGGCTGGGAACAAACAAAACAAGAACCAATTACCAACCAACATATATGCAGGAGAAAGTGGAGATGGATTGGACACTCGCGGCTGAGGAGCCTGGGCAGGTGGCTGACATTGCGCGCGCGTCAGGCCATTGCTCGAGTGGAACCAGGCTGAAAGGGGAAGCACGCGGTAAGTTGGACGTCAGTGTAAGGGTGGGTGACATGGAGGAGATGGTGTGAAGAGGAGGAGTTGAAAGAGTATGGACTAACTAACATGGATGGGTGCAGGTGAAAAGTACAGCAGAAGGAAGACAGAAGTGGGAAGTGGAGAGGTGCATTTGAAGCCCTATGTTCCACTAGGAACCCAAGGGAACAATAATAATAATAATAGTGAAACCAATAAATATACTGTGCCCAACTTACCCAATAGGCATTATTCATCTATATTTATCTTTTTTTTAACATCTACTGTCTTTCTTTTTGCTCAGGTCCAATCTATTGTTCATTACGCATATTTTTCTTATATGGTTATTTGAAAGTTGGCCTAGACAGTATTTCAACACGAATTGAGAATACAATTAACACACTTTCACAAGATTGTCAATCTCATGAAAAATGGATATTTGAAAGCATTTATAAAGATTTACTCAATATATTCGATCTGCTTATCTATCATTCAGTGAGAAAAACAGATGAGTTACATAAAACTAAGTAAATTATTCAATGTATGATTTTGTTTTTGTTTTTCGAAGATATTGAACAATTAAATGAAGGTCAATTTGAAACGCGCTTAGATTTTTATTACAAGGGATCATTTAAAAAGCTTAGAGAGTACTAAACAGCTGTTTCGTCCCAGTTTAGGACTATTCAGCATTGTGAAAGCACACCCCCAAACTACCATGGATCTGACCTGGGACCTTCAATTGATCATTCAACCACCTCGGCTGGAATTCAGTAACCTCTGAATTCTAACTGTTTAACCTTGTGATAACAGGGCTACAATAGGAAGTCGTGACTACTGAGATCCACCATATTTGGGTGAAGTGGACACGAATCAAAGGCGCTGGTGAGGATAGCGCTTTATCACGAGTAGACAAAGGGTAGAATTCAAGGGTCAACAAGCTTGGCCTCGTAAGCTGAAAGTCCCGGGCTCTATCCCTGATAGGCTCATGGATGTACGTTGATAAAGAGACCCAAAGTAGGACGAAACGGTTGTTAAATGCTCTCTAAATCATGGTGATGCGTGGCGAAACTGTGATAGTTCAAATTAATCCAAAATCCTCACAATTATTTGAAAGGCTTAAGAGGTCACCTTGTAGCCAGAAGGTTCTGGGTTCGAAACTCGATGGATACGTACTGAAGAGGAATCTCAAACTTGGGAGACGAAAAAACTGTCCACTACTTCATGCTTGTTTCGCCCTGGTTTTGTAACTGACGTCAGTTTATGATCCACTGGAGACGTACACGGAACAGACAACTAACTTCTTTTAATAGTTGGGCGCCTATCTCCAGGAAAAGGAACCTAATTCATTTGCTCTGCTTTAGGATAAGGAACATTTGCAGTTCTGATTGCATTGACTCAGAACTTGACTTCTTCAAAGCCACGCTCGCAGAAAACCGTCACCTTAGCCGATTTATTGACAGTAACATGAAAGATAAGCAGTCTAAACTGGTCACCGACTCAGCTCCAAAGCAAACCTTATTCATGAACTTGAAATTGAAATGTGATCAAGCTTCAGATATGCTGAAAAACCGTCTTTCTAAATCAGTCAGTAAGACGTTCTTTGCAGCAAAATTACATATGACGTTCACTAGCCACAAGTTGTTCTCTACCTCCGTAAAAGATAAGCTCCCTCGTTTAGCCGCTTCCATGTACACCTATCAGTTCACCTGCTCTTGTGGAGCAAGGTACATTGGCTGTAGTCAGGGGATGCTTTCCACACGGATACGGAAACATCTTCCAGTATGGTTTTACAAGGGAGAAAGGATGTGTCTGAGAAGCTCTATTCTGGAACACCTGATCGACTTCTATCACTCGGTCAACCCTGACCATGATTTCAAGATCATATATAGAATCAGTGCTAACTTGCCAGCCCCCTTTTCTTCGGTACAGACTTCTACAGACAGCTGGGGCCTTGTCAATTAACGACTTTAAGCCAGACGTTTGTGTACAAAAGAAGTATGTACATTCCCTACTTCTACCTTGGCTGTAGAGGGATAGACATTTATTTATTTTGTTTATTTAGTTATTCTATGTACCTTTCCCTCATTACTGCGATTGGTTTTATTATTATTATCATTACTTTTATTACTATTCTCACTCTGAATCTTTACCACTTGACCCACTTGTCATTTTAAACCCAAAACTATTATTTTTATTTTTACAATATATTGCATTCTATCTTATCAAATTTCACACCATGTTATGTAACACTTTATATTCGTCTACTAATGTTATAATTATGTACCCCTTTCCAAAATCTATACACCTTATGTATTATTCTATATATGACATTAATTATTTTACCACTTGACATTAAACTATGATTATAATCACAAATATTTTAATTGCATTTCACACTACTATTATTATTATTATTTTATGTATTCACTGACACCTTTGACCTAATTCCCTCACCGGATATAATTTCTTAAAAAAACCATATGTATATGAATGTACAGCGTGATAATAAATTCCTTGTTGAAAAGAGTCTCTTCGCTGAATATTGTGTTCATAATTTATGATCAAACGCCTAACCAATTAAATCCTTGTCAGTTCTAGAATAATAAATGAATGTTTTTCATCAGCTATTAATGTCAACGGTAGGCATTCTCGGCAAACAGAACAGAGGATACTAGTCATCATCTGACTTGCTGGGCTTCATAGACTTTGAAAAAGCCTTCGATTGATAGCATTGACAGAAGAGTAATTTGAAAAAAAAACAACCGCTCTCTCAACTCCACAGAGTGTGATGCCACTAAGAAGCTTTAACAATCTTGTTCAACAAATTTACAACAGAAAACTCAGTCAAGCGAAGGTTAGATGTCATCATCGATGGTGTTGTTGTTGATTCTGGTAGATTGCATTAGGCAACAGACTGGAGGCGCGGGGGAGGAGAGACAATATGGTCACATGTGAACCAACAAAATATATCTACGGTATCGGGACCTCACAAATGATTAATGTCCAATGTCATACATATTCGACGACCTACAGGCAAAAACCAACAAGCTGACAGAAGAAGAAGCAGTTGACGAAGACAGAGTTTCAAGTAGACAACCTTTTCTGTCTTTGCTGAGGACTAGATGGTCAACTTCAAGGGATTAGGTACAAGAAAGTCAAAACAAAAAAAATATTTAACAGAAAACCTAATTCCCAGCAGATATCCCAAGGAAAATGGAGTTGGACCGGACACATCGCATACTAAGCCATCCAATGAAATCCCAATGTAGAGTGATGAGTTGGTCACCTGTGGTGTAAGGTGATCTGAAGTGGAAGGGATAAAAGTTTTTAGGCAATCGTATAGACAGCTTAAGAGGATTGGAGAAGAATCGGATGATGGGGCGGGAGCAAGAGCACTAAGCAGCACAGGAAGGTACCTAAACGATGAAATGAAACAGATAGAGGAGGCATTGGAAGATCAGAAAAGGTAAAAAGCAAAATAAAAATAATAGTGAAACTAATAATGATAATATAAATAAGAAAGAATATGAGGCATCTACAATTCTACCATATAAGGAGGGAATATCTGAGACTCTGCCTACGTAGGATTCTCAATAAAGCAGGAATTAGGGTGGCACTCAAATCCACAAACTCACTCAAGTAGGACAAACTCTGTAGGTTAAAAGACTCGGTGAACTTAATTGAACAAATTAATATAATTTACAAAATACCCCGCAAAGACTGTGAGTGAGGTCAATTATGTAGGTCAAACTAGTAGGTCGCGGGTAGTCAGATTGTCGGAACATAAGAATTTAATGGTTAAGGCTTGAATGGTTGACCTCGAGAAGATAAGTAATTTAGAAAAAAGCTCAGCACTAAATTGCACTGCATGCATTAACACACAATCACACAATACGGTGAGAGAGGGTTAAAATTCTAAGAAGTAATATAAGCAGGTAGGTAGGTAGGTGGAGAGAGAGATTGATTACTTATTCCTACCTGGTTCATCGAGTCTACACACAACAAATGCAACAGTAATGACTAAATGCAAATACCAGAGATATGCATTGAAGATATTATTACCACCAGTCAGTCAAATAAGAGGAGGATGATAAATAATCGGAAAATTCTGTTTCAATTCAAACACATCACAACATTCTAACAAGTGGCTTATAATGACTATAAAAACACTCGTCTTATTTCCCATCTGATTTTAATTGATCAACAACACTCATATTATTTCGATAAAGAAAGGAAGACGAAATTTGCAGTATAAAATGATATCATTCTATTTCACAGGTTCTCATCATCTGCAGACTACCTGAAATTACAATGTTTATATAGATGATAATAACATACTTTAATGTTCGAGTGGTGGTAGAAAAGAGATACTATAAAATTTCAGGTAGTCTGCAGCTGATGAGAACCTGTGAAATAGAATGATGGCATCATTTTATACTGCAAATTTCGTCTTTCTTTCTTCATCGAAATTTATCAAGGGAACCAAATGTATGAACTCATATTATTATTATTATTTCTGAATGTATATTATCCTATATTGATTTGTATTCAAATGTCTATCCATCAATTTTACTCATGTATGTAAATAAAGCAAGAAAGTTGTATGAGTGATTTAGTATAATGATTATGAGCAGAGGTAATTTGTGCTCGTAACGTCGCCATCAGTTAATATTACTGTGTGATTTCAGTAAATTGAATATTCCCATTAATTATTCAGAATAAAATATTTGGAACGAACAATTGTCGTTTCAATAAATCCGTATTCTTCTGGCTCTGCAATTAATTATAGATCTATTAATTAATTTAAGCATACAATAGCCAGTCAGCCAGTCATTAAAGGCAAATTAGAATCATATCAGAAGAAGATGGATTGTGGAACAAGTATAAGATGAGGTGGGGTGGAACAAGAGTCAGTTAGTTTTCCTAATATGCATGGTCAATGAGAACATGGGACAAAATGAGATGAAGTAATTTAATTTAACGATGTGTGTGTACACATATGTAAATATAGTGATATGTATCCACATATATATATGTGTGTGTGTATGGTGATCTCTCTTTCTGTTTACTCGCTTAGTCTGTGACCATTTCACTTTGATGAACCTGTCTCCTTTAACAATGTATATTCTCCTTATATTATATATAATATAATATGAGTGTTTGTTGACAGTCCGTTGCTTGGTGACATATATCCATATTATATGTGTGGTTGTTGATATGTCTGCTATATTTCGCTATGTATATATGGATCGATACTTCATTATAATTAGCTATTCATGTTAAGACTGTCTAATGATTGTTCACACCCTTGTCATATATATATATTTCGCTTTCACAATTTGTGTGACACTTACACTTACTTACTTACTTACTTTGGTGTGATACCACTTTTGCATTCTCCTTGGGTTTGAAAATAGAAGTATCATCGCAAACCTAGTGGTCTTCTGATTTCCGCCTTCTTGCGTCAGGACTATTAGTTTCTCGACCAGTCCATAACAATAATTTAGCGACGAGTACATAACAATTTGGCGACGGGGAAAACTAGTACATAACATATAGTCAACAGAAAACTACAGGTTTCGAGAGTGAGTGTAATCAGGGTGTGTGAGACAATATGAATACTACAGAAAATAAACTAACGAAGTGGGTGGAATAGACATAAGTTCAGGGTTGAAAATAACAACAATAAGAATGATTGTAAAATAATAACGATGATACGGTGTAAAATTACAAGTACTATTGGTGAATGATTATCAAATAACAATAATGAATATAATGAAGTGGAATAAACAGGATTTTGTAAATGCGAAAACAAGTTAGAAAGGTACTACTTAAATCTAAAGTAACAGAAATCATAAGAAAGGTCATGAAGTCGTAAAAGGCCAGAAATGAAAGTTTGTCAATGAAACAGAGGAATAGAAGAAGAAAAGAAAAGAAAATTGTGAAAGGAATTTATGGTGTTAATGTTTATGGAGGATTTGTTGGCTTTATTGTAGGCCAAGGTAAACATAGAGGTTGAGCATACTTCTTCTGTATGCAAAGAGATGGTCTTCTTGTATTAATTGCAACCGCTTCAGCTACTGACAGAAGACGTAGTCGAGCTCCTCTAGATAGATGACTAGGAAGGCGGTAAATAACTGAGGACGCTTGGTCAAGTTTTATCTGGTGTCCAGTATCTACCAAGTGGGCTTAGACTGCACTATTGATGCATTTGGTTACTCCTTTACTCAACCACACAGGTATATGGATTAAGACCCCTTCCATGCGTGCACCTGAATATGAGTCCTAACCACTATGCCGCCGATGCACAGATCTAAAATGGTCGACAGACCAATAAAATCTTATCTATAGTAGAATTATACGACAGTGGCCAAGTTCTATACTTATATGAAAAATGGGGTGAAATGTGGGTGTAATAATCGAAGCTTTATATTCCGCTGGGAATCTAACGGAATTATCATGGTGATAATATATAAAAGGTATATATTTAAATTTACTGTTATCTTTATTATTATTATTATGATTTCTTTTTATTCTTTATTTTAATTTCTGAACAGAGACTCTGAAGAAATCTATCAAATAATGTTGTTATTTAACAATTATTTTAATAGTTATTTCAATATGAATACAGCAGAAGCATATCATCGCTCTCGATTCATACATTGGTACACTTATCCAGCCGAGAAAAATGTTAGCTTTCTAGATGTAAGTCAACCGACGAATAATCAACAAGACTTAATGTTGTAACGACAGAAGACAACGGCCAGTCAACAGATCGTTTATAGATTTTTATGTACATTATTATTATTATTAGCGTTATTGTTAGCAGAGAAGACGTTGCGTCTTCTGATTGGTTGTTTTCTTGTTCAAGGCTATTCTGTCTACATTTATTTGAAGGTCAGACCATACATATCTGCGAATTGTATCCGCCCACGCCTAGTCTGCTGTGATTGGTTGTAATTCTTGTTCTTTTTTTCTGGTGACCAAGATTTAGGACGGCTAGCAGATAGCTCTCACCACAGTTGTCCTTTATTTTGATATCATTATTATTCTTGAGAGAATTTTTAAAAGTCATCACCTTAGAACTTTGATTTCGCTTTGTTTTCTGCAGTCGTTTTAAGCAGACTCCAAGACTGGCCATAATTGCTCATCTCTTATTCACACGAACTCCTCTGTGTCATTCTGACAGAGACATCCAACTAGTAGTTTCACATTGGAGTTCAACTCGACGGTATGGTGAGTGATTTTACTCGGAGGGTTTTCTCAGCAGACATCTAAATCAACTCTACTTTCTTCTGAATGTTTGTTGGGTAATAGGTTCTCGTTTGAGCTAGTTTTCACGACTCGCTAAGCCTCTGAACAGAATAGAAGCACTGAGTGATCTTAGGTTAGTGCTGAAAATCCGGATGTTGTTTCTTATTCTGCGTGAATTAGATCTTCCCAGTGATCCCCAAGAAATGAAGATCTGTTTTGCTTTTTCCATCCTGCTTTGACATCATGTATATTATTATTATTACTGCTCCCTTGGGTTCTTAGTGGAACATAGGGCTTCAACTGCACGTCTCCATTTTCTTCTGTCTTCTGCTATACTTTTCGCCTGCATCCATGTTAATCCATATTATTTCAACTCCTCTTCACACGATCTCCTCCATGTCACCCTTGCATTGACGGCCCACTCACCGCTTCCCTTTCGGGTTCCACTCGAGGGCTTGGCGCGCGATGTCACCCAGCGGTCTCCTCAGTGAGTGTCCGATCCATCCCCACTTTCTCCTGCATATTTGTTGGGCGATTGGTTCTTGCTTTGTTTGTTCCCATAATTCCTTGTTGGTGATTCTTTCTGGCCATCTGATCTTCAGTATTGAGCGAAGACAGTTGTTAATAAAGGTCTGCAGCCTTTTGGAAATATACTTTGTGACCCACCAAGTTTCTGATCCGTATAGAAGAACTGACTTCACGTTTGTATTGAAAATCCGAATTTTGTTGGTGATGCTGAGTGACGAAGATTTCCAGATTGATTTCAGGCTGATGAATGTGTTTCTCGCCTATCCGATTCTCGATTTGACATCCTCGTCCGCTCCTCCTGTAGTTGAGACAATGCTCCCTAGATAAGTAGATGAAGTAACCTGATTGACGTTGGATGTTGTTGCTGTTGTTGGTTGGTTATTTTCATAACTTCCATCTTGTCTATGTTCACCTGGAGTCCTGTCTTCTCCGGCTTCTTCTTCGACCAGTTTGTCGGTTTTCGCTTGTAAGTCTTCGATTTTGTGACAGTGACATCAAACATAAGTCATCCGCGAAATCCAGGTCTTCTAGGTTCTTCACGTCAGTCCAGGATATTCCTGTCTTCTCGTTTCCCACAGTCTGACGCATAATCCAGTCCATCATGTATATATATATATATATATTGCACAACAAGCATAACAGACGGTAGTGGTGTTCTGTGGGGTGGATGGTTGCTTTGCGAAGCTTTCATCGCTCTACTAGGCAACATCTTCAGCCCATACTTCAATTTGATGAAGTGAGCTTTTAAATTTCTCCATGAGTTTACTATTCATCTCATCTGGTGGGTGACCTCAAATATCGTGACTGGTTGTTTTTGTGTGTGTTTTGACAACCCCTGGACTACACTTGTATTGCAAGTGATTGTTTCTTGAACTTTAACTTTGACCCTTTGTGTGTGTGTGTGAGAAGAAGAGAAGACGTTGAGTCTTCTGTTTGGTTGTTTTCTTGCTCAAGGTTATTCTGTCGCCATTTATTTGAAGGTCAAACCATATATATCTGCAAATTGTATCCTCCTACGCTCAGTCTTGTGTGATTGGGTGTTGAGTTAGTCTTTGTTCTTGTTTTTTTCTTGGGACATAAACATTGACGTAAATTGCCATTCTTGGTTGAGCTAGTTAACTGATCGCACCAGGCTGTTGAGTGTTATTTTTCATGAGTGACTAAGTCTCTGAACCGAAATGAAGCACTAAGTGACCTGAGGTTAGTGTTGAAAATTCCGATTTTGTTCTCTTTTCTGAGTGGATAAGATCTTCCCAATGATCCCAAGTAATGAAGATCCGTTTTGCTTTTCATATATATATATATATATATATATATATATATATATATATAAATGACATACTCAAGTAGCAGACTAGCTACTAACTTCGTCTACAGTTAAACCTCTAATCGATATGAACCACAAGAATGATGTCAAAACAGCTATTAAGGTTACTTTTAACAAGCGGTTTGGGTTGCTTATTGAAATACGATGAGGCGATAGCTATTGATAAACTCAAACTCCCCTCCCTCCATCCATCTGTGTGTATAAAAACAATTTGTTATTACTCTCAACCTACCGCCTTGGTAATCCTTATCTGATTAGATAAATTACATAAATTCTCTTCGTCACTTAATGTATTTTAATTGGCCTTCATATTTCATACAAATTGACTAGACAAGGAGATAGATATGTGAGGGGGCAGAATGTTGTTCGAAGCGTATTGCGCATATAAGTCACATAACTATTTATTCAGTGGATGGTGACTAGCAGTGACGGAATCCAGGATAATGCACATTTCTTCCTGTTTGCGACTCGTCCTCCAGCTGGACGTAAATGCATTCCCCGCTGAGTGATGACTGTGTTCCCATCGAGGCTTGGACTCAGTACCCATAGTTTCAAACACCAGCTAAAGCATTATCCTCTAGACCACCTGGGACACAACAGCCACCTCTTGTGGAATGGGTCATGTTAATGCAGGTGCATCTAGCTGGAAGACGAGTCTCAAATGGGATGAAATGCGCGATATCCTGGGTTCCGTCACTGTCAGTCACCATATACCAGTTAACTTTGAATTACCTGCCCAGACATCTTCGAAGCATCCGTACAAGAAGCCGACATGTCAACCTGAGACTGAGCACTTCTGTCCAATCAGTCGTCGGGAAAATTTAAAATTGAATTAAATAGATTACATTACTCTTTAGATAATCTTCGTCTCCTAATAATACTATCCAAATCGTAATTATATATTTCACAAATAACTCGTTAAACCCATCAGATACTGGTGTGGTGAGAGCTGTCTGCTAGCAATAAGTGTAGACAACAGTTTACGTCAATGTTCACGTCCTGAATAGGGTTCATGAGAAAAAACAATAACAAAGCTTAACCTTGAGAGAATCACCTACCAATCTCAGCAGAATTAACGCGTGCAAATACGATTCGCAGATATATGGCTTAACTTTCTAAGAAACGGCCACAAAGAGATTACAGAATAACCTTGAGCACGAAAGCAACCAGTGGGAAGACTTTGCTTCTCCGCTGACAGTATTGCTAATAATAATTCACATAAAAATGTAAATATTTGTTTATTTTCTCAATAAATGATCTGTTTCCTGCCCCTTACCTTCTGTCGTTACACTGGTAAATTTGTTTTCGAAAAATGTATTGCATAATGTTAAGGTGTAATCTGGAAGGGGATGACTATGGCCACAATGCCCTTAGGTGACTCGCCATTGAAAGAGGCTACAGTCAGTTTTTAGGTCATGATGAGTTCCTGCGTTGGCTGGTTATGTGTTTTCGTGAATTCGTTTTCCATTGAATTTTAAAGGTTTTTCTGGATGTTTTGCTTATTTTGCAGTGTGTAGGTCAGTTTTTGTCACTGGATGCTACTATTTAGCTTATTTTTAGCCTGAATTTCCCAGTTATTATGTTGGTAGTCAAGGATTATGGTAAACCTGGAATCATTGAGCTAATTAACGTATACTATGCTAACATAGTAGCATAGACTATGCTAATAATAGTAACAGTAAACTCCCCTACTGTTTTGCCATTGTTTGACAATGAAACTGTGCGCTGATTTTTCAGCATGAGTGGCACTAAATCGAACCTACTGGGTTTGCTTATCAACGTTGTTCCAGCCCTCACAGGACATATATTAAGCATGGACTAGCGTTACTCCAGAGCGGAAAGTTTTGATTCAGCACGCAGCTGTCTTTTTAAGCACGACCTCTGTCATTTCAGAACATAGTGGGTAAATATGATCTTCAGTTACCATAAAAAGGCATTATCGAGGAATAGGTTAGAATAAATTTAGAATTGTTTTAAGCTTGGTGGTGCTGCGGTCTAAGTGATAAATCGTATTAATCACCGTTATTCAGGATATGCTATGAACCGGAAATCCTCAGCTGAAAAACGTATGAATAAGACACAGGTCGGTGTAATTTATAACTGACTCCAAATTGCTCTCATCACGAAACAATCAACCAAAGTATGCTTTAAACTGTCGCTCTCAGGCGTTTATAGGGAAATTTACTTGATTTATGCTAACCTAGTATGCACAAATCCCACAGGTCATTGAATTGACAACTTAAAAAAGTAGATCAGTTAATACATACATTTATCTATATGTACTAATTAAGGATACATTAAATTTTTAGAAATTGTAGTTAAATTTTATTCGCCTAGTAATCAAAAATGCATACATCCTATTTTGGACTTAAAAGAAATGCATCGAAATTATTGTTGATTTATATTCACTTACTAGACATTCTCATACCTCTTAGTGTACTTTAAACACCACCAATGCATCCAAATAGCGTGTGACTATCACCCTACACTCATACCGAAAAAATTAACACGCCATTATATTATGGTAAGGTAAGCCCTAAATCATACTGACTGTAAATTTCCGTGTCAAAATAAAAAGATTGCTGCTGTAACTTATATTTTAGACCAATAGGAAGCCAGCTAGCCAACAGCCAATCAAAATCTGCCTATATCTATTTTCTTCGCCATTACGGTGCGCCGTGAATTGTTGGTGGTGGAACACAGGGCTTAAACGACACATCTCCATTTTGTTCTGTTTTCTGATGCCCTATTCAGCTGGCTACCTTCATGATTGCCCATGATCCCTGATTACCACCTCTCCACATGATGATCTCCATGTCACCCTCGCACCGATGACCCACTCGTCGCTTCCTATTTGGATTCGACTCGAGCATCGGCCGAGCGTGTGATGACATTTGACAGCCTCCTCAGTGACGTGTGCCCGATACATCTCCACTTTCATTTCCTATATATTTGTTGAGCGATCGGTTCTTGCCTGTTGGTTTGTTCCCAGCCGGAGTCTCTTGATGGTACTTCTTTCTGGCCAGCAAATGGATCTACATTGTGGTGCCAGCGAAGTGGGCAGCTGTTGATAAAAGACTGTAACTTTCTGTTGGAAATCCTTTTCGTAACCCTCTGATCATGTTTGTGACCCGTACATAGAGAAGAACTGGCTGACTTCATATTTGCGTTGAAAGTTCAACTCTTGTTCTTTTAACGCTGATTTAAGATTGATGAAGGCGTATCTTGCCTTTCAGACTCTGACTGGCTGTCTTTGACATCTTCATCCGTTCTGACTACCTGTAGTTGGAAGAATACTGCCTAGCCCGATAAGTGAAGGCAGTAACCTCAGTTAAACCCCTTCCGCTGATGGTAATTGGTACTGGTTTCTGTTGTTGTTGTTGTTGAGGTTTTGTTGGTTATCTTCATCACCTTCATCCGTCTTCTCTATATTCACCTGGGGTCTTATCTTCGCTGCATGACTCTTCTGCCAGTTTATTGGTTTTCATTTCACCTACCTGTAAGTCTTCGAGTTTGTGTGATATTAGACACATATCAACCGTAAAATCCAGATCTTCTAGAGTTTTCTTATCGGTGGTCCAGTATACTCCTGACTCCTCGCTCCCCATTCACAGTCTGACGCCTTATCCATTCCACCATGATTAAGAATATCATCGGTGATAACAGGCAGTCAGCCAGCCTTGTCTTACTCCATTATGCGTTTCGAACGCCTCCTCTCTGAGTTTCGTGTTGTGGTTGAAGGCAATCAGTTGGAATCCTTGGACCTAGGTTACGTGCTGGTTGACACTCGCCAGTCAACATAGCGTATATGCGATTCTGAGGGAACTTCCTTGACCTTCTTTAGATTCGAACAAGTGTCAAACATGTCTGATAAAATTCAGTCTGCATGAAAGATAGGAACACATACATTAGACCAGTTACTGACTAGTGTCCAATGAGAAGATTATCCAACACAGTCTTATAGGGGGTCGATTGAAACCCCGAGTAGCTCATTGGGAACGTCTTTGACTGCAGCCTTCACTGGGTGACGCGGGTTCAAATATCATAAGGGATATGAGTTCCTTCAAGATAGTTGCGGATATGTCTTTCTGACTTGTCCATCAGAATAATAAACTTACACAATGAAATGCAGCAAAATTTTGCTACTAACGTTACTATGGCTACGGTAAGGCGAATCATTGTGTGTGTGCAGTGTTTCTAAAATGCAGAGATTCACTTTCAGATTCTGAATATTCAATGATTCGGTAGTGTATAGATGACAGCGTACTCGAATTCATTTCACACCACATTGAGAACATCTATATAGCCCAGTGAAGCAGTCGTGTGTGAGGGTGGTGTGTGCCAGATGTCCAGAGGGATGTTCAGGGATTACTTTAGGATCATTGTCCACTACTTATTTATGTGAACTACTTCAGGTGTTATTTGTTAGTAGATAACACTCAGTCACCTGAAATCGTCGGTGCTGGGTTCGAGTCTCAGCGGGAACACCATCACTGCTCACTGATTAGGATACAGGCGCATCCACATGATGAGTGTCAAATAAGGACGAAATGGAACTCCATATTAGTTTGTTTATTAGATGTATCGCACAGTGAGTGAAACAGTATTATTATTTACTGGATGACACAGTTTCGAACACAATTTATTACTGTTCATAATCATATCGCCAATTATAATCACACGACTTCGAAACTAGAGTTTTACAGTTTTCTTTGTTCTCTACTATTTGTCGTCGTTGAGGTAGTAGAATTTTTCAGATATTTCCATGAACAGGTGTTGAATTATTCCTATTACACGTGTTGATTGGCAGTTGATTCGATAAGCAAAGCTTCTGTTATCAATCCCTCCCTTCACCATGCTGTTACATTAGATTTTAGAACTGTCATATTATCCCATCCCGTCTCATTGTATGTTTGTGTGTGATTGCATGTGGTGAGTGCTGTAGCTGAACTATCCTCAAGATTTCTCATCTTATTCGGGTCAACTAATCTAGATTTTGCTGGTGGGTTTTTATGCTCAGCTAGTCTGACTAACTGACCTTGTTCAACTAGCTTGACCTATGTATTCGACCTGACAATCATTGCAGGTAGGGTATTAGATAAGCTAGATTGTTTTGTTTTAAAGACTCTACAAGATTGATCCTTTAACCGACAAAGCTTGTTTCTAATAGAGTTTGAATGCCACTTTTTTTACGTAAAAATAAAATAAGTAATGATAGTAGTGATAGTGATAGCAATAGTAATATTAATAACGACATGCATGTCAAACATGCACAGGATAATGACAACGCCAACAATATGGAATCTAAATCATCAGTAGTAATTCCATACAAGTAAGGAACCTCGGAAACCACCTCACGCAGAATTTTTAACAATGCAGGAACCAACCACAAACTCAACTCGAAACAAGCTTTATCGGTTAAAGGATCAATCTTGTCGAGCCTTTAAAACAAAACAATTTAGTTTATCTAATACCCTACCTGCAATGATTGTCAGGTCGAATACATAGGTCAGTGAGACAAAAGGAGCACAAAACCCAGCAACAAAATCTAGATTGATTGACCCGAATAAGATAAGAAATCTAGAGAATAGTTCAGCTATACCACTCACTAGATGCAAATACACACAACCATACAATAGGATGAACGGGATAAGATGACAGTCCTGAAATCTAATGTAACAGCATGGTGAAGGGAGGGATTGATAACAGAGGAAGCTTTGCTTATCGAATCAGCTGCAGATCAACACGTGTATTACGAATGATTCAACACCTGTCAAGTCGGATATCGGGAAAATTCTACTGCCCCAACGATGACAAATAGGAAAGGACAAAGAAAACTATAACACTCAAGTTTCGAAGTCGTGTGATTATAACTGATGATATGATTATGAACAGTAATAAATTGTGTTCGAAACTGTGTCATCCAATAAATAATAATACTGTTATACACTCACTGACTGTGATACATCTAATAAACAAACTAATATGAAATTACTTACTACCACAGTGCCCTCTAGTTTTACACATATATAATAATGCATCTCGTAGGTGCATGCACAATGCTAGACAGCACACATCTACTACTATCAAATAGGTTAACTTCACTTATTGTTTCCAGAACTTATCTTCCACCAACTTCAAAATGTTTTTTCTTTCCTTGTAGTGTGGACCATACTTTAAAGTCACTGGACTGGAGTCGAATGGTGCAATCATGTATATGTGTTTGGATGGATTACATTTTAAAGAGGAGTATGGACCTTCAGCTCTCATCACTAATGGTTTTATAGGTATTAATAAAACGAATACAACGGTAAGTAAAATAATTGAAATAACCATTGAATTTTGATGTGGATTTCTTACTGAGATTGGGTTAATCAATGGCAGTGAATGAAAACGCTGTCATTGTCATTGCAATTATTGTTATTATTATTATTACTCCTTTGTGTCTCAAGGGAACAATTATTATTATTTTCCTTTAATTCTTAGAGGAACATAGGGCTTCAGCCGCTCAAGTCTCCATTGCGTTCAGTTCTCTGCTAGAATTTTCACCTGCCTCCAGGTTTGCCCATATACTTTCATCTCCTCTTCACATCACCTCCTCCAAGTCACCCTTGCACTGACGACCGACTCGCCGATTCCCTTTCTGTCGGGTTCCACTTGGGCGATGGCCTGTCTAATCATATCACTTGATGGTTTCTTCAGAGGATGGCCAGCCAATTCATCGCCATTTCTTCCTGCATATTTGTTGCACAATCGGTTCCTGCTGTGTTGATTCGATCCCAGAGATCCTTGTTACTGACCTTTTCTGGCCATCTGATCTCGAGAACTGAGCAAAGACAGTTTTTAATGAAGGTCTGCAGTTTGTTTGAGGTGTTCTTTATGATGTGGCACCAAGTCTCTAATCCGTATAGTAAGTAGCACTGACTGATTTCACACTTGAGTTAAAAATCTGGATCATATTTTTCATGTTGAGTACTGAGTGCTGTTGACCTCCACACCGACTTGAGAGAAATGAAAGCCTGTCTTGCTTTCCTGATCCTCTCTGTGACATTGTAATCAGTTCTGTCGGCTTGTAGTTGAAACGATGCTTCCCAGGTAGGTAGGTATATAAATGAGGTTGTTTCTTCCAGGTTCCTCCCATTTATGCTGATTGTTGTCTGTTGTTGTTGTTGCTGTTGGTGTTGGCAAGGAATCCTTATCACTTCCGTTTTCTCTATGTTCACCTGAAGTCCTTGCTATCTTTGATGCTTCTGCTATCGCCAACTTTTAGCTTTTCACTTGCATATCTTCCGGTTTGTGAGAAATCAGACATATATCATCGGCGAAGTCCAGATCGTCCAAGTTATTTTGTGTGGGTCCATTTTATGCCCGTGTCTTCGCTGCCCACGGTGTGTCTATCGCATTATCCTAATTACTGCAATCATGAAAATCATTGTGGATAGTAGAAGGCCATCTAGTATTACTCCCGTCTTCACTGCGAAGGATTCCGTAAATTTCCCGTTGTAGATTACTTGGAATGCAGCCTTATCATACAACAGTTGGATGAGGTGTATACCTGCTGGCGGCACCCCGTAGTAGCGAAGTAATAACCTCTCGATCGACACTGCCGAAGTCTTTTTCAGATTCGATGAAGTTGGGATAGAGAGCTGACTGCCATTCCAAGCTCTGTTAAGTGATTATCCACAGTGTTGCGATTTGATCGATGCATAACTTGTTTCTCCTGAATGTAGCCTGTTCTGGTCGAAGTTTTTCATCTAGGGCGTGTTTGATTCTCTCCAGGATGATGTGGCTTAGTATTTTGCTTGGAATAGACAACAGCATAATTCCGCGCCTGTTCTTGCATTGACTTAAGTCTCCTCTCTTTGGCAGTTTGAATAAGTAGTCTTTCTTCCAATCCACAGTTACCTTGCTCTCTTTCCACACTTTCTCCAGTAGTTCATTTTCAGTGCCTCTGCTGGGATTCCGTCTGGTTCTACTGCTTTCCCAGCTTTTGGCATCTTGATTGCATTCAGGACTTCTGATTTCGTCGGGGGGTCGATGTTCACTGATAGTTCTGCTTCCGTTGTTGGTATTGTTGGGCGCGTTTTAGGTGGCAGTTGATTTAAAAGTCTTTTGAAGTGTTCAGTCCAGTGTTTTCTTTGCTCCACCTCTTTGATGATTGACTTCCCATTGTCATCCTTTACTGGCTTAATCTGTGTCGAACGTTTGCCTGATGGGTGCCTAGTTGTTTGGTAGAGTCTGGCGAGGTCTCCTTTGCCTGAAGCTTGTTCTGCTTCACTTTCCATGGCTTCATAATATTTTATTTTGTCTTCCCTGGCACTTTTCTTTACTCTTTTGTTCAGTGTATTGTAATTTGCATTCCTTTCCTGTTTTTGCTGCTCATCAATGCACTGGATAATTTTGTTTCAAAATTCTTCCCTCTTCTATTAGTCATCATATGTCCGTAGAGAGCCAGTGTCTGTCCTGTCTCTTCTTTCTTCCTAGAACTTGAAGGTTTGACCCCATACAGTTTTTAAGTTGTCCCAGTGCTTTTCGACGCCGACCTCTTCGCTAGTGTTGATTTGTGTCTCAGCTTTGTCCCTTATGTTTGCAATGTTTGTATCTTGGTCCTTCAGTTTTTGAGTGTTGAACTTGGCTTGTTGTCTATCTGCAGCTCCTGTTTCCCTGAAAACTTTTAATTGGATTTGGATTGTTCTTTGCAAAAGATAATGATCTGAGCCAAAGTCTCCTCCTCCTTTTCTTACTTCTTCTTCTTCCAGTAAGCTGCGTCTCTACTTCCTTGAGGAACACTGAGACGAAGTCAGTTTAGTTTTTGGTTCGCCCATCTTGCGACACCCATGCAGCTTTGTGGATATCCTTTTGCTTGTATACACACTCTTCCACTAATCACTAGTTCAATCAAGGTGAAGAAGTCAGCGAAGAGCTCTACGTTTTCACTCATCTGTCCAACAGCTTCTCTACCCATGATGAGTTCTCTTCCTATGATGTCTGGTCTTAGTCTCCTATAGTTTAGGATGTATATGAATAATCCCCAAAGTGTTTCCATCTCCTTTAGCAACAAACCTTGAATTAGAATTATCTGGTGAAATAATTGTGAAACAGTCGTTATTATTATTGATTTTGTGACCTGACATTCCTAAGTGCTTTGCAATGATGATGATGATGATGATGACGATGGATTTCTATTCAGATTAAGAATTGCATTGGGCTTTTTCTGTATATGTCTCAATAACCATTCTGGAAAATGTTCTTTTCGACGACCACATTGGGAATTTAGCTAAGGTAAGAATGGTTGACCCCACCGGAGAAGATAAGTAATTTAGAAAAATGCTCAGCGCTAAATTGCACTGCATGCATTAACACACAACCACACAATAGCATGGTGGGAGAGGGTTAAAATTCTATAAAGTAATCTAGGTTGGGTGGAGAGAGAGGTTGACTACTGAATCCTACCTTGTTCATCGAGTCTATACCCAACACATGCAATAGGAGTGATTCATCACTCATACCTGAAATATGGAAAATACTATTACCAATCAAATCAAGTGAAAATCAAGTGAAAAACAATAGAACTATATAAATATGAAGTTAGGAAGTCGTATGAGTACCTTGATATGACGATGAGTAATAAATTGTGCTCGAGACGTGGTCATCAGTAAACAACATTACTGTATAACAACACTGTGTGAGACTTTATCAAAACAAAAATTTACCCATAATGGAATTACACTCTACCACCACAGTGCACACAAGTTTTATTCTTATATCAGTTGCAGGTGAACTTGTAGATACTGTTTGAAGTACAGTCCACAGAATTTCGTCCTTTAATCGCGCAGGTATAGGGATCGAAAATGTTCGGGGCATTTGAAGGAAAGAGATGCAATGTAGAATGCGCGCTTAATGGCTGATCTAAGTGTCTATACAGATAGCTGTCAACTGCATAATCTGGTCAGCCTTGAATGGTAGGCAGATAGTTAGGTTAATAAAGATAGATAGCTTTCCTTGGTAACGAAATTTCGCTTTTTTTTACTCAATTTTCAACTGAATCTCCTTTCATTTTTTCTCTTCTTTTTCTCTGTGTGCAAAATTTTAGAATTATCATGTGAAAATAACATTTCTTGGACTGTTAGATGATCCATTACCACGTTTTGCTTGTTTATATCAACATTTTAATTATAAAAGTTTTCCCGCGGAATTGAATACAGTCTGTACATTTGATTCAAAAACTGAGAAGAATGTTACATGTTTATGTACAAAGCCTGGATTCTATGCCCTGTGTCAGGTAATGCCATAAACTTACGCAAACACACACACACACACGCACATCCTATTGTTAGTCTCTTTCCTTTCTTGTTGTCATAATCCTCCATAGGAGTGTTTAGTTCCTAATGAATTAGAGCTTTGGCTGATCTTTTGGTGACATCATGATGATCTCCACTGACTCATAGTATGCTCATGGTTGTCGTCTAAGCAGGTGACCTTGTGTAGATTATAACAAGCTGGAGAGTCCAATTCTTACAGTCAAACTGTTTGATGATATTAGATGGTGGCTGGAGGCAATCGGCTACAGGAAGTCCAGTCTTAGACCTAGGCTTTGTGCTAGTAGCTGGCATTCACCAGTCAGTCAGTCAGTCAATCAGCAAGGCTTATCTGCGACCGCCTTGAAGGAAATCATGTTCCCCCTCCCCACTTCTGAGGTTCGAACCCGCGGCATCACCCAGTGTAGTCTGCAGTCACAGACCTTACCACTGAGCTATTTGGGGTTGCGATTGACTTCCTGTAGGACTGCAGGGGATATATTGATTGGAGGCTAGTAACTATTGTGTGATTTGCTTAGCTAGGCCTTTCTTTGGTGCAGACTGAATTCTATCAGTTAGTCAGGTTTGCAATGTGGCCACTATGCCACTAGGTAGCTCACCATCACGGTGCACATTGATTTGATGATATTGGATGGTTGAAGGCTACTGGTCACAGGAAGCCGTGACTAGACCCAGGTTTCGTGCTAGTTGGCACTCGTCAGGTTGCAAACCTGACTGAGAGAATTTAGTCTGCACCAAAGAAACGGCTCAGCACGTCACATTAGTTACTGTTCTCCAAACAAAATCAACTACAGGAGGAACGGATGAGGATGTCAAATCCAGCGAGAAACACATTCATCAACCTGAAACCAATCTGGAAATCTTCGTCACTTAGCATCAACAACAAAATTCGGTCGGATTTTCATACAAACGTCAAGTCAGTCAATTCTTCTATACGGATGAGAAACTTGGCAGGCGGGTCACAAAGAATATTTCCAACAGCCTGTTGCAGACCTACCTTTATCAACCAGCAACTGTCTTCGCTGGATCTATACTGAAGATAAATCAGATGGCCGAGTCGGAAAGAATCACCAACAAGAAACTATGGCTGGGAACAAACAAAACAAGAACCAATCGCCAACCAACAAATATGCAGGAGACAGTGGAGATGGATTGGACACTACTCGGTGAGGAGTCCGCCGCTGGGTGACATCGCGCGCGCATCGGTCTATTGCTCAAGTGGAACCAGGCCGAAAGGGAAGCGGTGAGTGGGACGTCAGTGCAAGGGTGACATGGAGGAGATCGTGTGAAGAGTAGCTGAAACGGTATGGACTAACAAACATGGATGCAGGTGAAAAGTAGAGCAGAAGACAGAAGTGGCAAGTGGATACGTGCAGTTAAAGCCCTATGTTCCACTAGGAACCCAAAGGAACAATAATAATAATGATCGAAATCAATTTGTTCTCACATATTCCTTCTGTACACTTCTTTGCCATAATCTCCTCATTTATTCGGCAACATAGGCAGCCTACTCAGCTTCTCACATTGTAAGAAAACATTTGATGTTCTTTCGCATGCTTATTGTCGCTTTCATCGAGGAAGGAGAGATACACTAGCTGATTGGTCTCCCTAAGGCTTTCACCAGCAGAGAATAAGTTTTTCTTAAAAAAATATATATTATTTCTTGCGCTTTCTAGTTTCTGTAGAGATTGAGTTCATCTCCTGGCGTAGAATCACTGGCCTCATGCTTAACCTTCCTATCGACCATTCAGCCAATCACTTGACTTGTGAATTCAAAATTCAGTCAATTAATGGGAAAGAGCTACTGCCAATCAATGACATTCGGTGAGCACCACTGAGGAGTCCCACTGTATGATGAAACAGTTCCTCGGTGTACAGCGATTGTCTAAGGAGCTTGAAAATCTCCGTGGAGTCATATGAAAAAGAGAAGGCATTCAGAGAAAAGACACTTTTTGATAGCGAATTCATTCACATAGCTAGCTGTACAATCGCATTTACATATAATTATTTGTGTGTGTATGTACATGAGGTTTCTCAAGTTTAGATAATTATTCAGGTAATACAAGAATGATCTAATATAGATACAAGGTTAATTAGACAACAACTAAAGCAAGACTGAGTTAGTTAGTAAGTTGGATGACGTAATATAATTGACTAAAATGTTTCAATTCAGTTCAGGGTAATAACAGAGGTAATTACGGGGAGAGACTAAGTAGAAGTGGGGTAGAGAATAATGCCATTTAAATTAGAACTGAAATTGAACAAATAAGTTGGATGACGTAACAATAATGACTATGAATCCTAGACCACAAAAGCTGCCCAAGCTTAGCGTCCTGAAAAACCTCCTCTACATGAACCTTCAATTCAATGGAGATATATCTACAGAAACACTGAAATATCGACAATCGCGCTCACTCAAGAAGACCTTCTTCGCAGTTGAACTACGACTCACCTTCTCCACAAAACCTATGATTCATGTGAACGTGAAGGATAAGCCACCACTGTTGACTTCATCAATGTGTATTTATCAATTCACCTGCTCGTGTGGGGTCAGGTGCGTTGGGCGAAACATTCGGATGATGTACAATAAAGGACTAGAAACTGAGCGTTGGTCAAGTCAGTGACAGTGTTAGTGAGGTGCAGAAATTAAATCGAGTGGGGGTAGAGAACAAGAAAGCTGAAAATGTAAAATATTACAATTGAGAAGACAAAATAATACCAATGAAGACACAGACAGAAAGAAATTGAATATACCTGTTGGGTATTAGGACAGATTACGTCCATTGCAAGTGTAGTGATTGAACGAACTTCTTCTGTGTGCAGAGTTCAGGGCTCAGCAAGTGAATCTGCATTGTTTCTGCAGTTTGAAGAAGTCTGATTCGTACGCTTTTAGAAAGACTGCCTCGTACTCTGTAGACGAATTTGAATTTTGTTTGAAGAGTAGCTTGGTGTCCAAAACCTATCAGATGTTCTAAGATAGAGTTGTGGAGACAACGTTTTTCTCCTCTGTAAAACTGTGTTGGTAAGTGTTCGGTGATAAGTTTGGAAAGTGATCGCTGGGTACGGCCAACATACCTGACTCCACGCGAGCAGGTGAATTGATGAATACACATTGATGAAGTCAGCAGTGGTGGCTTATCCTTCACGTTCACATGAATCATAGGTTTTGTGGAGAAGGTGAGTCGTAGTTCAACTGCGAAGAAGGTCTTCTCGAGTGAGCGCGATTGTCGATATTTCAGTGTTTCTGCAGATATATCTCCATTGAATTGAAGGTTCATGTAGAGGAGGTTTTTCAGGACGCTAAGCTTGGGCAGCTTTTGTGGTCTAGGATTCATAGTCATTATTGTTACGTCATCCAACTTATTTGTTCAATTTCAGTTCTAATTTAAATGGCATTATTCTCTACCCCACTTCTACTTAGTCTCTCCCCGTAATTACCTCTGTTATTACCCTGAACTGAATTGAAACATTTTAGTCAATTATATTACGTCATCCAACTTACTAACTAACTCAGTCTTGCTTTAGTTGTTGTCTAATTAACCTTGTATCTATATTAGATCATTCTTGTATTACCTGATTAATTATCTAAACTTGAGAAACCTCATGTACATACACACACAAATAATTATATGTAAATGCGATTGTACAGCTAGCTATGTGAATGAATTCGCCGAAAATATTCTCTGAATGGAGTCAGCTTGTGAGGTAGTATACACGGAAACCAGTAAGGATCCCTATAAAATCTAAACTCTGAATGTCAAATCATGTTTGCCGAAAATTGGGTGATTAATTTGAATATTGCATGGAGGATTTAATCATGAGCTGACATCAGTTAGAGAATCATTGGAAAACCTGGGAGTACTGGACAGCCGTGTCGTCCTAGTTTGGGACTCCTCAGCAGTACGCACCCACCGGGATTCGAACCCAGGACCTTCTGGTTACAAGGCGAGCTCGTATACCATTAAGCCACTGGGACCCGATCCAATGGTCCTTGAATTCTAACTTCTGCCAGTTCACGACATAGCGCGACCACTTCGCAATGTCTTCTTCGATGAGTTACTGCTTCACCTTCAGCCTGCTGCAGCCTACTGGTCACAGCTTCCCACTAGAACCCCAGGTTAACTGCCTGAATAGGGCCAGTCACTAGTGAGCATCAGATGAATTTTCAAGTATTGGTTTTTGTAGGGATTTTGTTTGATTGCATGGAGGATTTAATCATGAGCTGACATCAGTTAGAGAACCATTGGAAAACCGACTGGGAGTACTGGACAGCCGTTTGAATATCACCATAATCTATTCAGTGTGAGGATAACTAGAGAGAACAACTGCGGTTTTACTAAATTCTTCAGACTTTATAATTACATATCAATTAAGCTGAGCATTGGATATCCAGTACAGGCAAAGCAGAAGTACACCAGAAGGTGTATCACTGTGGGACTATTATGATCTGAATTATGACCCAGTATACCATGAGGGAATACTAAATTAATGCGCTGGCTAATCTGTCCTAATCTCAAGTCAACAGCAACGAAAATAATAACACTGCTGGACCGCAAAAGACAGAAGAGAAGACTGGACATTGATAAATTAAAACAGTGAACAACCAATAGGATTTCAAAGGTAATAAGTAGAGTGAGAGAAAATTAGATCACAAATGGATATGTTTGCCGAAATAAATACAAACAGAGATGTAAAAATGACATGTGGAACATTAGGCCTATATTATCAGGGATAATTACAAGATGGATTCATAGTGTGGTGAGAGCTATCTGCAAGCCAAAATTGTAGACAACAATTTACATCAATGTTTACTTCCCATATCTTGGTCATGAGATAAAACCAAGATCAAAGCCTAACCTTGATGAACTCAACAACCAATCACAGAAGACTGAGCGTGGGTGGATTCAATTCGCAGACATGCGGTCTGACCTTCAAAGAAACGGCCACAAAGAGATGACAGAATAACCTTCAGAAAGAAAACAACCAATCAGAAGACGCTGTTTCTCTGCCAATAAATAATAACGCTAATAATAATGTACATAAAAATCTATAAATATCTGTTGATTTTCTGAATAAACGATCTGTTTCCTTGCCCTTGTCTTTTGTCGTTACAATATAGTTTCAAATATTGTCTGAAATAAATTTTCACTACTATTATTATTTTATCATTGAAAAATTCCCTACAGTAAGATCAGAATGGTTGTGAAAAGACAGTGAACTTCTGTGGCAGAGAAGACTGCAGACTAACTTCTAGTAGAATTGAATTTGTTACAGGATTTCATCATGAGCCGACATCAGTTAGAGAATCATTGGAAAACCTGGGAGTACTGGACAACTGTTTTGTCCTAGTTTGGGACTCTTAAGCAGTACGTACCCACCGCCAAGCTTCGAACCCAGGACCTTCTGGTTACAAGGCTAGCGAGGTCGCAGACCATTAAGCCAGTGGGACCTGATCCAGTGGCCCATGAATTCCAACTTCTACCAACTCACGACTTGGTGCGACCCCTAGCCAATGTCTTCGGCGAGTATTTCTCCTCACACCTGACCTTCTGCACCCTACTGGTCACGACTTCTTAAGATTTAAAATGTCTTTTTTCATTCATTTTTTTATTTGGTCTTCTTATTTTTTGCTATTTTCACAGATTGACCATGTAACTATGATATGGCGTCCAAAGAATAAATTGAATAATTATTCAATAACTTTTTTACATTTAACAATCATAATTACAATTAGTGTTTTAATGTTAGTTATCCTGCATATTCGATGGTAGGTCTTTCTTTTTATTTTCTGTTTTGCTGTGTGTGTGTGTGTGGGGGGGTAATAATAGCTGTCATGTATATCTAATTTATTTCCCTTCGGTTTTATTTGAGATGTGGAGATTTGACGCGCTGATTTCTCTGATATCTTATCTGTGTCATTCTTGCACTTACGACTAACTCATAGCTTCTCACTTTGAATCTCAATTGGCAGTTGGGCCAATGACGTCAGCAGAGGGTAATATGTTGTTGCTTTGTTGTTTGTTCACCGCAATAATTCCTTGTTCCCCATATTCAGTAGTGAGCGAAGAATGCAGCTCTTGATGAGCGTCTATCGCCTGTTAGAAACGATTTCCGTAATGTATCGTATTATTAATATTATTGTTTCCTTTAGTTCTTAGAGGAATAATGGGGCTTTAGTCGCACGTCTCCATTGAGTTCGATTCTCTGGCAACATTTTCACCTAGCTCCACGTCTGCCCGCGTTCTTTCATCGCCTCTTCACATCACCTTCTCTTCCATGTCACCGTTGCATTGATGACAACAAAATCGCCGCTTCCCATTCCATTGGGTTTCCACTTAACCAATGACCTGGCGTGTGATGTCACTCACTCATTTGATGGTTTATTTTTTCACAGTATGGTCAGCCAATCTATCTACCTCCATTTCTTCCTCCATATTCGTTGCACAATTGGTTCCTACTGGGTTGGCTCTTTCATGTTGCTAATCTTTTCTGGCCGGCCAGTTAGCTGTTGATGGAAGTTAGTAGTTTGTTTGAATTGCCCTTTGTGATGCATCGCCAAGTCTCTGGTCTGTATATTAGCACTGAATGACTTCACACTGGAGTTTAAAATTCGGATCTTATTTCTCCTGCTGGGTGTTGAGTGTTGATCTCCGCAAAGACTTGAGAGAAATGAAAGATTGCCTTGCTTTCACGATCTTCGCTTTCATGATATCCTCATCGATTCCGTCAGCCTGTAGTTGAAACGATGCTTCCCAGGTAGGTAGGTAGGTAGATAGGTGAATTGTGTCGCTTCTTTCATATATCTCCCCTTTATGACAGCTGATTGTTGTCTGTTGTTGTTGCCGTCGCTGTTGGCCAGGAATCTTCATCACCACATCTGTTTTCTCCATGTTCACCGTCATGCACTAAATTGATATTAGCGTTAAAGAGAATCCGGATCTTGTTTCCCATGCTGAATTGTTGTAAGTCTTCCAAAATGATTTGAGGCTAATCAACGTTTGTCTTAAATTCACCATCTAATTTTAACTGGCTCTAACATCTTTATCTATGCCATCGGCTGTAGTTCAGATGATACTGCTCAGGTCACGTAAGTAAAATAGACAACTAAACTGACATCTCTCCAACTGATAGTTGATTATCTTAATCACTTTTACTTTCTCTATGTTCACTTAAAATTCAGTCTTTACTACCTTATCTTAAAATTTGTCGGTTTCCGCCTGCCTATCTTTTGATTTCATTCACAAATTCCAGCATGTCAAGAGTCTTTCCATCGGTCCAACGTAATCTTTTGTCTTCTCACTCCCCATGTTCTGTCTCGTGAACCAGTAAGCCGCAATGAAGAACATCATCGGTGATAGCAACCAGCTTTGATTAACTTCTTCTTTCTTCATTTCAAATTGCTTTGCTGAGTATTCCGTTGTCAATCATTTGACATGTGGCATCATCCGTTGGCTATTGGACAAAGTCTGCAAACGTTTGAGGCACTCCATAGTGCTGATGCTATTTAAGTCAGGTATGTGGAAGGGACAACTTCCACAACATTTCTGCTATTTTTGGTTATGAGTACTTGTTGCTGTTGTTGTTGTTGGTGGTGGTGGTGGTGGTGGTTGGGTGTCTTCATCACCTCCATCTTCTCTACTTCAGAATAACATCCCATCTTCTCGGCTTCTTCAGCAAACTGGTTAGTGATATACATGAATTATGTGATTGGAAAAATGTTATCTGTCTGTCTGGATTCAACATAGAACTTGGCACCGAAGTGCAGCAGTTCGAGTTGCCACGTTCCAAATAGCACACAGAGGTAGACAAGAAGATGAGTGAAGAGAATCAATAGAGTTTGACAAATATAAGAGTGAAACAGAATGAGTAATGGTAGAAAGGAATATGAAAGATTACAGAGACTGAATACATCTGCCCTGGCCATTGACAACGATTTTGAGCCATGTGTCACCTATTGTCTCCAGCCATTGATTCCTAGAGTCCCGAGGGCCCCAACCCGGAAGTCTGCATCTCCCTACCTGACTCAGTTTAACTGTCAAGGATTTCATGGATTGATGAGGCCATGTTTTTGTTTGGCCACCACTGGCTCTTTTCCAACCTGAACCTATATCAGCTAGCAAAGCCCGTCGGGGGAGGCGGTGGTTAGGCATGCGCAGCACGTGACCTAGCCATCTTAGTCTATGTAACTTTATAGCCTCGTCGATTGATTTTCCCTCTTTGCCTGCCCAACACTCTACGCCTAACGTCAACATTACTTATCTTGTGAAACCACCTAACGTGAGACAGAGATCGCAGACATTTATGATCGAAAGCAGTCAACCTTTTCATGTCTTCAACGCGTATTGGCCATGTTTCAGAGCCATAGAGAAGGACGGAGCGAACTGATGAGCAGTACACACGTCCCTTGGTTGATAGCCAGCCGGATGTCACGCCTACGCCAGAGATGGTGTAAGTCAGCGAAAGCAGCTCGAGCTTTTCGGATCCGTGCTGAGATTTCATCGCCAATCAGTCCGTTGGTGCAACATGTTATAAAAGTTTCCAAGTAATCTGGGTGTATAGTGACTAGCAGCAGAATCCAGGATGCGCGGTTTCCTTTCAGACGTCAACTCATCATCCACTAGACCACTTGAGCCACGATAAACACCTCTTTTGCATAAGGTAAAGTTTTGGCTAATGAAATGATGGGTATTGATTGGGTTAAAGCATTAGTGGGAACAATGTCATCACTGACTGGGGAATACAGGTACATCAAGCTGACGAGTCCTGTATGCGACGGAATGCTCACTATTCTGGATTCCACCACTGCTAGTCACCATCCACTTAATTACCTCAAATTAAATAATCAAACATCTTCAAGGCACCCGCACAAGGAGCCGAAATGTCAACCTGAGGCCGAATACTTCGGTCCAGGAAAGATATTGTATAACTTTGTTAGCAGACGGTGGATATTCCTGATTACCATGGCAACATCAGTATGTTTGCTTGCAGCCAGCTGATTGATTTCAAGATTGATCACTGTTTAACTTCAGTTACAGACCCATTGAAAAAAATCATGGAGTAGTGAGTGGACTTCTGTCTCATTCTTGTTCTGAACCCTTCATCAGTACGCATCCTGAACGTAGGTGACCAGCGAAGTTCACCGAAATTGTTATGGTGATAAGTAATCGACGGCAACGTTGGCCACAGGTTGCCTTATATCGAGTCAGTAAGTCAATGGATTCCAACTCAGACATGATTACGCACAGCTTAAGAGTTCCAAACGAAGATGAAGTAATTTCACAGTTGTTAGATATCGTTGCAAAACAAACATTTGTTAGAGAGATCATTGAAAATTAATCTAAATCTACGCAAATTCTGTAACATAAATATCAACCTCCAGCTGAATGACAGCTACTGGACTGATGTCCTGAAACTGTAGTAATAATAAGCCATAACCAGTGAGCTACACCACATGAAGGTGAAGCGGATGGTCTCTGAAGTTATTGTTGAGGGTAGTTGTAGATCACCAATTCACAAAATTGGAATTCTCATGGGTCACTGAATTCTCAGCCCAACTAGCTGGATGATCAATGAGCTTGTTGCTGTAACCTGGAGGTATAAGGTCTGACTCGTCTGACACTAGTTTTTACAGGAAGCCCACTGACACATTGAAACAAATATTTAGACTTCCATTCATCCCATCCTATGGCAATCAAAATAGGATTGGTGAAATGTTAAAGTAATAATAGGGCACAAGACTAAGTAGTACGAAGGAAAATCAAAGACAGGAAGTGAGACATATAAGAAAAGTTTTCAAGTTTAATAATTACCCTGATAAATCAGTTAGAAAGTATGTAGGGAAAATGTAAAATGAAATAAAGAATGATTGTAGTGATGGTAATAGTAATCATAATAAGAATAATAATAATAATGATAATAATTGTAATAATAATGTAACAACAGAAGACAAGGGCCAGACAACACATCGTTTGATTATGAAAATCAACACGTATTTATATATATATTTCACATACATTATTATAGCTTATGCAAGTAGACAAGCGCAGCCATCCGATTGGTTGTTTATCAGAAGTTAGGCAGACAAACGCAGGCTTCGGATTGGTTGTTTCGGGATTCCTCGACAAATAGAGTTCTCTATCTGCGAATCATATTTTGCCACGTTAACTTTGCTGTGATTGGTTGTTGAATCAGCCTTGCTCATATTTTCTCACGGCCTGCTCTCACCACAATAATAGTAATATTAATGACGACATGCATGTCAAACATCCGTATGATAATGAAAACACCAACAATAAGGAATCTAAATCATCACTGGTATTTACATCCAAACAAAGGAAACCCGGAAACCTTACTCAGAATTCTTAACAATACAGGCAGGAATAAAAGTGGCTGGGATTCAAACCTACAAATTCAATTTTAAGCATGCTTTGTCGGTTAAAGGATCAATACTGTGGAGCCTTTAAAACAAAACAATTTAGTTTATTTAATACTCTGCCTGACTGATTATCAGGTCAAAATACATAGGTCATACTAGTAGAACAGGGTATGTCAGACTAGCTGAGCATAAAAACCTAGCTAAATCTAGATTGGTTGACCCAAATAAGATGAGAAATCTAGAGAATAGTTCAGTCGTAGATAGCACTACACTACATGCAATTACACACAACCAAACAACAGGCCTGATGGTATAAGATGACAGTTTTAAAATCTAATGTCACAGCAGGGTGGAGGGAGAGGTTGATAACAGAAGCTTTGTTTATCGAATCAACTGCAAACTAACACGTGTAATAAGAAAGATTCAACGCCAGTCTGGAAAATTCTACTACCCCTACGACGACAAATTGGAGAGAACAAAGAAAATTATAAAACTGAAGTTTCGAAGTCGTGTGATTATAATTGACATGATTATGAACAATAAATTTTATTCGAAACATCATCCAGTAAAAAATACGGTTTCACCACTGTGTGATATATCTAATAAACAAACTAATATGGAATTACTAACTACCACAGCGCCCAAGTTTTACATATATAATAACATCAGGTCTGACCCCTGGTAAAGTCACGTGTTGGTGCCACCAAACAGTTCTATACAAAAACGAAGTGGCTGCCCACTACTCCTTAGTTTACAGTGGTTCGCTTTATTTTATGTGAGTTTGTAATGAACCTTGGAAAACGTTTCACTATCTCGCAGACATTTTTATCAGTGTAACTTTATACCTAATATATACATACATTCATTATACTAAATTTTTGTATCGTGATGTTTTTTTATAGCTCAACCCCAGCAAGTAGGATATATGCAGGTCCAAAGCGAAGGTAGGTTCTTTTGCTTTATGATTCCCTATTTCATACCTTCCGTAAATCTGTGAGTACATTATTAAGTAAGATTTGCATTTTCCCAATGTATGAAAACTCTGATTGCTTTGTTTTTCTTTTACTTTAGCGCCTTTCTCAATTTGAAGTGAGCTTTTAAATTTCTCCACAAGGTTATCAGTCATCTCTCCTTGAACGTCACGATTGGTTGTTTTTGTGTTTTTTCACACCCTCTAGGCCACTTGTATTAACATTGGTGTTGATTGTTTCCTTGACTTGAACTTTGACCTTTTGTGTGTGAGGTTTCCTTTTTACCGGTTGGTAAATTTTGTCTTTCTCGTTGTGTCTATCGATTGACGATTCACTGGAATGCCAGACAGGCTTCTAAAAATTCTCTAGCATTCTCGCTGTTTCCTCTCTGTAATATCTGAACGCTGGTTGTCCCAGTCGAAATGATGTTCGTGGTTGTCTGTATGCAGCCATATGAGGGAGTGTATGTCATGTCTTTTGACGGTTAGCTTATGTTCGTGGATTCGAAGACGAAGGGAGAGTCGATTTTTGACAATGTAGTGTTTTTCGCAGTTGCTGCAATTTATTTCGTAAGTGATGTTGGTTTTGTATTCTTCCGTTGCTGAGTCTTTTGACTGACATAGAGCCAACCGAGTGGAGTGATTTTATTACTTTATTAGCCACATCAACACCACAAGGTTTGAATGGTCTTTCAGTTATTTCAGAGATGTTTTTTTTAAAACTATGGTAGGGCCTTTTTCTTTGTGTTATCTTTGGGGGCCTTTGATTTGATTGATTTAGTTGGAGAGAGGTGTATTTTGATAAAGTATCGTGGATATTCACAATTAAAAAACTCATAAATTTTTATTTTTACTAAGATTTTGACCTGGGTTCTGAGTGAAACATAGATTTTTAGAAGTGCATCTTGATTATATTCTCTTCCCTTAGTAGATTTTCAGATTGAGCAGATGTTTGTGTTGCTTGTTCATGGTAAGATTTAAATGGCAAAACTACGAGCCCACGAACAAGACTTTCTTTTCCGATTTCGATAAGAATATAATAGAATTGTAACGACAAAAGACAAGGGACAGGAAACAGATCGTTTATTCAGAAAATCAACAGATATTTATAGATTTTTATGTACATTATTATTAGCGTTATTATTAGCAGAGAAGTGACGTATTCTGATTGGTTGGTTTTCTTGCTCAAGGTTATTCGGTTATCTCTTTGTGGCCGTTTCTTTGAAGGTCAGACCATATATCTGCGAGTCGTATTTGTACACGTTAAGTGTACCATGACTGGTTGTTGAGTTAGTCTTTGTTCTTGTTTCTCCTCATGACCAAGATTTGGGACATAAACAATGACGTAAATTATTATTATTATTGTATTATTGTTCCCTTGGGTTCCTAGTAGAATATAGGGCTTCAAATGCACGTCTCCACTTGCTTCTGTCTTCTGCTGCTGTACTTTTCACCTGCATCCATGTTAGTAATGAACAGTCAGTTTTTTTTCGAGACACTTATCTGATGTCGGCAATATCATTTTCGCTAGACGAAGACGCTGACAAAAATACAGCAGAGTCTTCTGAAGATCTTGCGATTCGATCCTGCACAATGTGAAATGATGCTGCAGGAATGGGCTACACTACATTGACTCCTGGCGTAGAAATAGGGAGTGAAGTGGTAGAGCACGTTGACCACTTCACTTAAATATTTGGGAAGTTGCATCAGCCAGTACCAACGGGTTGACCGTTGACGAAATCTCAGCATGGTGGATACAGAAAGCTAGTTTCGCATATGCCAGTTTATGCCGTCTCTGGCGTAGACATGATATCCAGCTGACTGTCAACCAAAGGGCGTGTGTAGTGCTCAGAAATCTGCTCCATCCTCCTTTATCACTGTGAGACTTGGCCATTGAGAGTGCATGACATGAAAGGCTGGCTGGGTGTCTTTGATCATATGTGCCTGTGTTCTATCTCCCGTTTGAAGTGATATAACAGGGTGAGAAACACTGAGGTTAGGCATTGGTCGAGTGCTAGGTAGGTGGGAGGGGAAATCAATCGACGAGTCTGTGAAGCTACATCGACTGAGATGGTTAGGTCATGTGTTACGTATGCCTGCCTAGTCATCGCCTTCCTTGACAATGGGCAATGTTAGCTGACATAGGGTTAGGTTGGAAAAGAGCGGTGGTCAAACCAAAGCATGGCACCAGTCAATGAAATCCACAACAATTAGTTTCAGCCATGTAGGAAGGTGTAGATTTCCTGGTTGTGGTCCTTGGGACGGTAAAAACCAATGAATGCTGGAGACGATTGATGATATGGCTCAAACTCATCGTTCTCAATGGCTGGCGCAGATTCAGCCACTTCTTGTGAATTATAATATCTATTAAAACTATATTGTTCTTCGATATGACTATAGTTTCAAACGCCAAAGCGTTATCCACTAGACCACTGGGGAATGCAGGTTTATCCAGTTGAGTAGTTCAAACTAGGAAGAAATGCACATTATCCTGAATTTGACTGCTAGTTACCATCAACCAATTGACTTCGAGTTACATGACCAGACATCATCGAAGCATTTGCACAAGGGGTCGGAATGTCAACCTAAGACCGAGGAATTCGGTCCAATCATCAATAGACAGGAAAATCTAAATTGAATTTAAATAGTTTGTAATGTTAGTTAATGCATAACAGAAGGAGTTAGAAAAGTAAGTACACAAACATCAGGTCACCTCAAATCAACATGGCTGTCGCCATGTTGAGTAGAAATGGTTGAATATATCCCCTTTGTGTGCATAACTCTGTTTTTTTTCAACTGAATGACTAGAGCTTCAAGAATACAAAAGAGGCGAAGGTGCATGCCCTTTGAAAGGTTATTTTTCACTTTGTAGACTACTTGGAAAGAGGAGGCGTTTGTTGAGATCGGTGACGATCGGTGTCGACAAGTGTTTGATTATCTCACTCCTTTAGATATGATGGAAAGGATTTGTAGCTCAGGTGGATGATTTTAATGTGGTTGTGTTCTCTAAGCTGGCTGGATGGTTGGTTTATTTGCAAAGTTTTCATTCCCTACTTACTGTGCAACATCTTCAGCGCATACTTCAATTTGAATAGAAGTGAGCTTTTAGACTTCTCCACGAGTTTTTTAGTCATCTCTCCTGGTGGGTGGTGACCTTGAACGTAGTGATTGATTGTTTTTGTGTGTTTTCACAACATCTAGGCTACTTGTATTGGAATTGGTGCTGATTGTTCCCTTGACTTGAACTTTGACCCTTTGTGTGTGTGAGATTTCCTACTTATTTGTTGGTAAATTTTGTCTAATATGTGAACGTTGTCCCAGTCAAATTGTTGTCTATGGTTGTCTGTATGCAGTGAGGTGATATGAGGGAGTGTATGTTTTGTGTCTTGATGACTAGTTTTTAGAGGCTGACGGTATTGACGTTCACGGATAATACGGAGTATACTAAAGCAAGATCTAATACCCACAACTTCTGTAGTATTCGTTCCGCGTAGATCACAGGCAAAGCAAAAGACCACAATTGATCATCCAAAGTACGAGATATATATTTCGTGACTAAATCGGAGTGTGAGGTGATTGCTTAGTTGGCTAGTGATCATGCACGAACGTGACACGACGGAGTTCCAAATGACGTCGGCGCTTGACTGGAAGCCTTCAGCTAAACAAGTCGACTTAAACAGTGAGGGTCAGCTTCCAATGTTCAGTGGTGAGTGCTGTGGTCAATAATTTTGGGAAATTATTCACCGCTATAAGCTCATGTTCATGGATACGAAGACGAAGGGGACGTTGTCCACTTTGACCAATGTAGTGTTTTTCGCAGTCGTTGCAATTTATATTTTTTAGATGATGTTGGTTTTATCTTTTATCATTGTGTTATAGAGTCACTACTACTGTAGTAACAGAAGACAAGGGCCACGCAACAGATCGTTTATTAAGGAAATCAACACGTATTTATATATTTTCATGTACATTATTATAGCAAATTCAAGCAAACATACACTGTCTTCTGATTGGTTGTCTCTCACAGAAAGTTGACCTTGCATATCTTTGTGACTGTTTCTTGAGTGTCAAATCATCTATATGTTGACTGTATCCGCCTACGCAAAGTCTGCTGTGATTGGCTGTTGAATCAGTCTTGTTCATATTTTCGCACGACCAATATTTGCGACATACACATTGACGTAAAATACTGTCTACCACTTTTGGCTAGCAGCCACCTCTCACCACACTACCGTTTTGCAACAACGCAGGATAATGTTCTTATTTTTATCGAACTGTTGTCAAAATAATACTAGTAATCCTACCGTGTTTTCTGTTTTTCCCTTCTTCTTTTTTATTGTCCTCCTCGTCATCAAAAGAAAAACTTGGCGAAAATATCTGTGCTTTGTAGATCTTGTTCTTCAACAATTTATTATTTATATATGTATGCTTGTCACTCAACTGATCTCTATTCGTTATGCAAAGAAAACCAATTGTCAGGTAAGCCTAATTGTGTACATACAATACCGATTTGTGTTCATTTTTTTTATCAATAATATATCGATTCTGAAGATGGTGATGGATTTTGATGTGGTTACCTTCTCTGAGTTGGGTCGTAACGACAGAAGACAAGGGTCAGGCAACAGATCATTTTTATTGATTTGTATGTACATTATTAGTAGCGTTATTGTTAGCAGAGAAACATCATCTTCTGATTGGTTGTTTTCTTGCTGAAGGTTATTCTGTACTGCGTTTGTGACCGTTTCTTAGAAATTCAGGCAATATATCTACGAATCATATTTGCACACGTTATGTCTGCTGTGATTGGTTGTTGAGTTCCTCAAGGTTAAAGATTTGTTATTGTTTGTTTTTCTCATGCCTCCGATTCGGGATGTGAACATAAACGTGTGAATTGTTGTCTACATTTTTTTTGGCTAGCAGACAGCTGTCAACACAGTAGGATTTAATTTAGCGACTTTCATCCGCCTAGCAAGTTTCTAGGGAATTCCATTAACAACAATGCATGTGGTGGAAGTTCGATTCCCGACTTCCAGTCTTCCTCAGAATGTCGACTGGTTCGTTAGTCGTAAAACAGTTCCACCGCTAAAGAATTCCCTATTAGGACGAAACAGTTGTCCACTGCTGTGTGGTTTTAAATGATCTGTCTACAGCTGATGTTGGTTCTTAATAAAATCTACACTACATTTTATTCGAATCCTTATTTTGAAAAAAAAACAACTCATAATTTAAATTTCACTCTTACCCTTTAATTATTATAATAATTTTGTAAAATCTTTTATTTTATTTTATAGTTACTATGGGCTCTCAGTGGTGCATGTTATTGGACATCAGGACTGCTCAATTTAGTTCATTCGATTATCACTTTCTCAGCAATAAGAAGTTATAATCCATACAAATTATGTATTAAATTGACAATTGTCACTTATGGTGAGTTTTTGTCTTGCGCTGATGCTCTTTAAAAAAGTGCGGCGTTGGGGGGGGGTACTGGAATGTTATATTAAGCAAAAGAAATATTGTAATTTAATTGTACGATGGTGACTGACTAGCAGTGACGGAATCCAGTCAGGATAACGCGCATTTCGTCCCTTTTGAGACTCGTCCTGCAGCTGGATATATCTAATTCTAAAATTCAGTTAAATAATTAATATGACCCGTGGCACGAAAGGTGGCCATCTCTCGTGTCCAAAGTGGTCTAATGGATAACGCTTTGGCTTTTGAAACTATTGGCATCAGGTATGAGCCTCATTGGGAACACACTCATCACTCACTGGAGAATGCAGGTAGATCTAGCTGGAGGACGAATCCCAAATAGGACGAAATGCGTGTTATCCTGGATTCCGTCAGTGCTAGTCACCATCCACTTATTAAATTCTTAATATCTGTCCAGACATCGTCGAAGCATTTGCACAAGAAGGCGAGCACTTCGGTCCAATCAGTCGACGTGAAAATCTAAAATTCAATTAAAAATAAAGGCATATTGTTATTATTTCCATAGTTTTAGAAGTATGTCTCCATCTTACTGTTCTCTGCAGTCCTGCTTAGTTTGCCCAACGATTGCCTGTAAGCTTTCATCTGCCCCTAACATCTGTCTCGTCCATGTCCTCCTCGCGCACATACGCACAATTCGTGGTTTCTCATTCGCGTTCCACTCAGACACGTGGCGCAGGATGACACTCAACTGTCTCCTGAGCATGGGGACAATCTATCTCCATTTTCATGTGCATATTTTTTTTCGGATAACAGGTTTTCGGTGCGTCTATTACCAGAGTTTCTTTCTTGTGACTTGCTTATCCTTTCTGCTCATTCGATCTTCAGTATGGAGATAGAACCAATGAAAGCGACTATTGATGAAATACGGTATTTGTCAGCCGGAAATTTTTTATCACTTCTCTGAGCCATAGTTTTCTGTTGTATCCACAAGATGAGATAGAATAGCACTACACGAATAGATTTTGTTTGTCCTTTACTTAACCAACCACTATGTAGGGTGATGTTCGGAAATTCGACGAGAAACACGCCTAATTGTATGGCCTATGCAACAGACTGGCTCACTCCACAGGAGCAGTTCAATTGTTAAATACACATGAAAGAGGCAAAATTAGGCAGTTTATCTTTTACTCCCGAACGCAAAATAGCACTGGATGGTTTTGAAGACACAGTGTAATTCAGCAGCAGGGAATGCTTTTCGTTTTACCGCATTTCGAAGGTGCTATGTTAGTACCTCGCTGATGTTGTCCCAAGGAACTGCATCTGAAAGAATAAGGCCGTTTTTGAAACTGTTGGCACCTTGAGCTGCTTTGATTTCAGATTCATATTCTTATCAATAAACTTTTCAGGATAAACCGTTTTCACTCACCAGCAGTTGACTGTTATTGAGTTCCTCATCAAGACATTCGTTCGGGAAAATTGCTCTTGCTCTGCGAACCAAGAACTTTATCAGACTGCGTTTATATTTCAAGGGTATGAAGCTGAAAAAAAAGAGTATACTTACAGTCAGTTGATGTAGGTGCTTTTTATAAACACTTCTTATTATGCCATCCTCTTTTCTGGTCATAAGGACGTCTAGGAGTGAATTACTACTGTGTCTTTCTTTTTCGATGGCAAAATTTATTGCAGGATGAACACTGTCAGCAAGGATGTTCTTTGTTTCATCCTCAGTGTTTTCATGATCAAAAATGTATCATCAATGTACCGACAATAGAATTCGAGTTCATTATTAACATCATTCAAAGGCCCATTTTCTAGTTTTGCAAGGAAAATATCGGCTAGAATGGGTCCTAGTGATTACCTCTTTGCCACACCATCGATTTGTCTGTATAGTTCCTTATTAAATAAAAAGTGGATATTCATTGTACATTTCAAAAGAAGCTCTTACATAAAAGATATAGGAATGCCAACACCGATGTTTCATCTTTTGAGTTCTTTGTATACAAAGTCCACTGTTTCCACAAGTAGTACGCATTGGTGAGTAAGGAAGATACGTCAACAAATGATATCATGAATTTATTGTCAACATTTAAATCTTTTATCATTTCAACAAATCCAAAGGTGTCTTTTACTGTGTGTTTCACCAACTTGGTATGAAGAGGCTGTAATAGTTCAACTAACCATTTGGACACGGGATTCTTTTATCAAGCCTCTGAGCCATAGAGAAGCACTGATTTGATATTAATAATTAAGATTCGAATGTCTTCCTCATTTCTGAGTACAGCAGATATCTACACTGGTTTCAATGTTTAATTTCTGTTTAATTTCATCATAGATGTACTACTAATGAACTTAACCCTAACTGAATGCGTCCGCTGCACGTTTCTCAACTTCACTTCTGCTTTCGATTCTGTACCTAGATGTCTCTTGCTAAATAAACTCTCCATGACAAAAACTGAGTCCTGGGTCACTAACTGGTTGCATTCCTACTTTTCAAACAAAATGCAGTATACCGTATACAAAGGCGAATCCTCCTCTGCTGTGCTCACTGAAGCTGGTGTCCCTCAAGGTGCTGTACTCTCCCCACTTCTCTTTTCTTTCTTTCCACATGACTTACCATCTTCAAACGACATTAATTTTGTCAAATATGCTGACGAACTGACTGTATCTTTGCCTGTCAAATGTCAAAGTGACTACTCCAAACTAAATGGCTTTTTATCAGAAATCAGCCAATGGTCCAAGGAAAACGGTCTTACCTTAAGTCCCTCTAAATGTCAAACAGTCAATTTCACCTTTAGGCATAAATCTGACCTAAACAAACTGGTTAACACTCACACGAGGTGTGCAACACGGATGGCACTGAAATTGAAACCAAGTCGGAAATTAAGTATCTTGGTGTCATTCTATCTGCTGATCTTTCCTGGTCGTCTCATATCTTGATGATTTCTAAGAAAATATTCCGTCTTACCTTCTACATCAAAAAGTTAAGACATTCTGGTATAACCCAACCCTTACTCCTACAATTCGTTAACTCTCCTATTCTGCCCATTATTCTCTATTGTTCCCCCTCAGTTTTTCCTGGGCTACTGAAGAAAGACTATACCTTATTACGTAGGATGTTACAGGTTGTCAGCAGGGTAAGTTACGTGCCACTTAACCAGCTTGTTAATATTCTGGTTGACAGGCACTTGGACTCCTCACGTGAAAAATGGGCCAAATCCATTCTATCTGTCGAACTCACACCACCCTCTTCATTCACAACTCTCCCCTTGTATCTCATCAGGCAAAACCAGAAGCCTGTATAGAAAACTATATGCTCGCACTAGTAAATATAAAAACTCAACCATACCCTATTTGGCTCTTGTCCTGTGCGATAAAGAAAGCATTAAGCGTGAAACTTATAACTTATTAAATAGTCATTTGAACAACTGGATCTCGTCTTTCCAACTCATATCATGTATAGGTACAACGTTTTCTTTCTTTTCCTTTTCTCTCTCTCTCTCTTTTTCTCTGTTACGTGCTCCTTTGTTTCTTTCTTCTGCTTACGCCAGTAAATATGCTAGAACCTACTTTTCTAGCACCTTCAAACACTCTGTTTAATTTTGGCTAATATATTGTTGTCAAAACTAACTGAGATTACCCTTAATCTATGTATCATTTTATTGTATTGTTAATGTACTAACTGGATGCAATACTGTAGTAAAATGCTGAGAATTCCATTCTGTATCGCAAGTACAGAATGGAATTCTTTGCATTATCATTATCATTATTATTATCGATTCAGAAACTCGGGGATTGATTTGTTACCAGGGAATAATAGTCTCGTTGATTTAGAATATCAAGATGATATAAGCCTCCTAGGTGAAGACGCTGGTGAAATGCACAGCATTTGCGATACATTGAGGAGCAGCAATCCTCGAATTTTCGGTATGTGATTCGTCCCTGCTGTCAAATGTAAAGTGAGGCCACAGGAATGGGCTGGACTACATTGATTTCTAGCTTCAAAATAAGGAGTGAAGTGATAGAGTGTGTTGACCACTTCATTTATTTTGGGAAATTCCATCAGCCCCAACGGGTTGATCTCTGACAAAATCTCAGCACGGATAAAGAAGGCTTGTTTGGCATTTGCCAACTCAGGCCATTACATTAAATGACATGAAATAGAATGTTCAAATACATATATTGTATTCTGTTGCTAATGTAGTATTGAATTGTGTAAATATGTGAGAATAATATTTCATTGGAACACATTGTCTGTATCGCATCACCACCACAGACTATCTCACCCTCCTTACCCAAATTCTAAACCTAACCTCAACAATACTCACCATATTATATCACTTAATATGAGAGATAAGACGAAAACATCTATGGTCAAAGACACCTAGTCTTCTCATAACTTCCACTTTCAATGAACACATCTCAGAACCATCCAGGTATCACGTCTACTAAGCCAGAGATGACGCTAGTTAGCAAATACTACACTACTGCTTTGTATCTGTGTGGAGATTTCCTCATTATTTCTGTTCAACTGAGCTTGTGGAGTGAGTTAATTCGGCCGTTGCTCTAGGAACTTGATTTTTCGGGCCCACCAGGGAACACCTACCAGTATGGCTAAATAAAAGTGTAGTGAAATCCATCAACAGTTCCATATTAGACCGCCTGGTCCAAACCAGATAGCCAAAAAGCCGCCAGCATTGAAGAATCCAAACAGCACAGACTATCACAATTCGCGTGAAACAACAACCAATGCATTTTGTGAAGAAAAAGGAAGTTGATATGTATCCACATATATATATATATATGTGTATGGTGGTCTCTCTTTCTGTTGCTCTCTTAGTCTGTGACCATTTCATTTTGATGAACCTGTCTCCTTTAACAATGTATATTCTCCTTATATTATATTATATATAATATGTGTGTTTCTTGACAGTCTGATCTTGGTGATATATATATCCATATAATATGTGTGTTTGTTGACATGTCTGCTATATTTTGCTATGTATATATGGATCGATACTCTATTATAATT